GGCGGGGGCGGAGGGGCTGGGGGCGGCGTCGGGAGTGGTACGCACGCCACACACACATTGAGGGAGGGATTCATTCAACACACACCCAGAAGGGGCATGCCTGCAGCCATGCATGAGTGCGTCTATGCGTGCCTGCAGTTGCCCAGCACGGCGGCAACGCCGGCGGTTCCATCCCGGTATGGGCAAATGACAACCCACTAGACACACACGCGGCAAACAAGAAGCGTCTCAACGGATGTCCGTGTGTGTGTGTGTGTTGTGTTGCCATTCTGCAGACACGTACGAAGACACAGATACACCAGCCAAGAGATGCATCCATCCATCCAACAATCCATCCACACAAATGTACAGCTCTCCCTGTGTGTGTGTGTGTGTGTCACTGACTGCAGCGCTCTCCAACACCTCCAACACACCCGCACCCCCGGTCGTGGTAAGCCATCACACAACACGCACATACACACGTACCCACAGTGGGCAGCCATACCATCTGTTTACCTGTCTGTGTGTGTGTGTGTGTGTGTGGTGCAGGACGCCATTCAGGAGCCCCCCACACCTGGCCTGGCCACGGGCGGCGTCCATGGCCCCGGCCTGCGCGGCACGTTGGAGGACAACTACGTGAACGTCTACGACGCACACGGCGTGGCCTCCACCGGCAAGACCGCACACCCGGCGCAGAGCATCACGGGCACTGCGTGGGACCCTGCCAAGAAGCGCTAGATGCAACACCGTACACACACACACACAATCATGAGTGCAAAGATACATGGCCGCCGAGGGTAGACGAAAGACACCAACTAAGAGATGCGTCCATCCATCCCATCTCTGTGTATGTGTATTGGTTTGATATGTGCTGCGTGAGCGTCTTTCAGATTGCTGTCTACATTTTATATTCCGAGGCTCATTGATTGTTCACCGCCACGCGCAATGGAGGCCAGTGCCAGCCGTCCATGCCGCGGGCCTGCTGGTCCACTCGGTAGCCACGCGCGGCCGGATGTGGCGACGCTCGTGGCTTGTATGATCACAGACCACTTGGCCGCTCACAGAATGCCTGACAGCAGCAGAGACACATCGAGAGAGACGTATCAGATTGGTCTGCAGGACGGCAGTCGACGGGCGCACGCAAGAAGCACGGCGACACGGAGCATCATGAGGCCTCTCATGACAGCCGCGGAGCAGCGTCTGTGTGTACACATAGATGCACACAAACGCCTCTCTCTCTCTGTGGATGGATGGATGGATGCAGACGGACAACACGCTGCTCGAGTATGAGCACCTGCCTGAAAGCGACGTGTGTGTGCTGCGCAGCCGTCTGGGTGATTTCGGCAATTCGTCAAGAGGGCCGGCGACGGGGTCAGTCCATCGCCACCAACAGAGAGAGAGAGAGAGAGACGCGGGTTTGGGTGTGCAAATGTCGTCTCCTCTTTGTCTCTCTGTCTCTCTGTCTGTCGGTCAGGCGCCGTTGCCTCGTGATGTACGCGGCTCCCGAGGTGCTCAAAGCAGGCGGCAAGCATACGCACCAGTCAGACGTGTTTTCGCTGGGTGACTGAAATGACAGATATCACACACACACACACACACACACGTGTGAATGCGACAGCCATGTGCACCCCTGTCTTTGTGTACCTGTGTGTGGGTCTGTGTCGTGCAACGCACAGGAATTATCATGTTCGGTGTGCTCACGTCGCGAGAGCCGTTCGACATCGCCAAGCGCTACGGCTGCCACGACAAGGACGCCGAGAAGGAACACATCAGGGTACGCACACAAACACACACACAGATGGTCGCCCGCCCACTGAATGGATGACGTGTCTGTGTGTGCTGTGCTCGTTCCGAATGACTGACAGATGGCACAGGAGCTCAGCGAGGGCGACCCAGCTGGCCCAGGGGCGTACTACTGCGAGAGATCATGTCGTGCATGGCGGCGAAGGGCGTCCATGAGCACCGGCAGCCCGAGCTGGAGAAGCTGTTGGACATGCTGGGAATGTTCATGGCCAAGAACCCCGACGAGCGCCTCACGGCTACCGAGGTAGGTCACATGTTTGTCTGTTTGGGTGTACCCACATGTGAATGGATGAGAGAGAGAGGGATGCACGCAGGAGGGGCAGACAGCTCACGGCCAAACAACCACTTGAGTCGTTGTCTGTTCTTTTGTCCGTGCGATGCGCATTGCCTGGATGGATGGATGGATGATTATGCTCAGGCGACGGACCCCCGGTGCACTCATCCGGCAGTGCTGGAGGTGCGGCGCATCAGGGACAACATGCTGGCGGGCAAGAGCGAGCACGATCGGGAGGAGAGGAAGTTGATAGAGGGACGACCCAACGACATGACGTAGGCGGGGAGGGAGGGAGGGGTTGATGCACGGCTGAAGCGACACACATACATCCGTGTCTGTGTGTCGTTGGTGTGTGTGTGTGTGTGTGCAGAGCGGCGCCATCGAAGCGTGCCCCCCTGCCCAGCCGCAAAGACCCGCGTCGCATCCAGAAGCAGGTACATACGCCTTCTCGGGTGTGTGTGAGGGATTGGTGTCTGTTTGCGTTGGGGACGCACACACAAACGGATGCATTTGCTTTGTTTCTTCCCTGCCTGTCTGCCTACCTGCCTGCCTGTCTGTCTGTCTGTCTGTCTGTCTGTCTGCAGGCCCTCATCGATCGAGCCCTCAAGGACGAATGCGCCAAGCACGGTAATGCACACAGACGCACAGACAGACAGACAGAGAAACAGGTGTATATGTGTGTGGTTTGGCTTGGTGTGGCGTGGTGTTTGTGTGTGCATGCAGGAGTTGAGTTCAAGCGCTTCACCATCACCTGTGGCCCCAACATGCCTACCCACATCAGCCACTTGGGCGCCATGTACCTCTTCAAGTGCAGCGATGACATCGTGCGCGACCTCCGCGTGCGTCTGTAGGACCACTCCCTGGAAGGTAGGTGAGAACAGACAAGAGAACCACGCAGCCAGGAGCACACTCGTCCATCCATCCATCCATCCATATATGTTGTGTCGGTCCTCTCATTTGATGTCTGTCTTCTCAGTCCTGCTGTGCAACTGGAAGAGGCAGCCGGCCGACTGGATGACCTGCCAGGCCTCCAGCACCTTCAGTCTACCGCCTCCACGCCAAACGAGCGCCTCTCGCCGGGGCGCCGGCAAGATGACTCGCCGGGCCAGCATCAGGAAGCTGATAGAAGGGCCGATGACCAAGAAGTAGGCGGGCACGCAGGCAGGGAAGCGACACTCATCCATACACACATACATCCATGTTTGTGTGTCATCGGGGTGTGTGTGTGTGTGTGTGTCAGATCGCTGCTTACATATTATATCTGTGGGTCCCTTCACTCTGAGCGGACAGAACCACCTGCAGCAGCATGGCGACAAGGCGGAGTTTGAGGAGGGCACGCAGCTGGGTCAAGGGAAGGGGGAGCCCGTGGTGCTGGGGCAGCTCCGCCGGCCTCTCCCGAGTGGCGTCGGGATGCCGGTCAGCGTGGCGATCAAGCGCGTGACGCTGATTGAGGAGGAGCATCTCAGCGGGCAAGGCCTCAGGCAGCAGAGGAACGAAATCGCCGAGCTTCAGGCCGAGGCCAAGGCGCTGCGGCGGATGGAGGGGTGGCCGCCCTTCATCCGCCTCATCGCAGCCAACACGGACCCCTCCAGGCCCGCCACCCTCGAGAAGCCCGACGCCACCAAGAGCAAGGTGCTCTGCATAGCTATGGAGCCGCTGGGTGAGTGAACCACACACAGCACGCGCACACACATTTGGATGCACCATGGGGGCAAGGAAGATCAGGCCAAAGCAGATCAGACCAGCGGGATGACGGAAAGACCCTTCAATCACTGTTCTCCCTGTTTGTTGTGTGTGTTGCTCATGGTGCTGCAGGGAGCGACTTCGTGGAGGGATGCAAGCTGTTCGGCCTTCTGGGAGCCAACAGCCGCCCCATGAACGCGCGGGCCATCTGGCTGCGATTCCAGGCCAGCATTGCCGCCAAGAGCCTGGACGAGAGGGCGAAGGAGCTGCAGCAGGACCTAATCGTCCTCACCAAGGCCCTCGCCATGATCGTCCAGGCGCAGAGGGGGGCCGTGTCCCGCGGGACGCTGCACCCAGACGCGCCGGCCAAGAACGTGATGCTGCCCCAGAGCGTCCTCGGCGGCGACCGGCCCCTGCAGCCATATCCGGCTGACAATGGGCAGAGGTTGATAGACCTGGCCAGTCTCGTCAATCTCGGCACACAGGACAGCGGCACCACCACCACCAGCAGCAGCAGCAGGACGAACGACGGCCCACCGCCCTTCCTGGGCAAGAGGTGCCAGACGGCCCTTGTGCCACTCGACCCGGAGAAGCAGCGCGCGAGCCTGCAGATCGCCGGCAGCACGCCCTTTTATCGAGACCCCGAGCTCATCCTCCTCGGCCTGGAGCACGACCAGCCGGAGCTGCGGACGACTCCATCCCGGTGCTGGCGGCCAGGGCCAAGGTGCGGGGCGCCGCACGTGACAAGGGGGTGCTGGTGGGGACGGGCGACAGGGAGGGGGCTTGGGTGGGGGTCCCAGCAGCTGTCCATTCGGTGGGAATGGCCATCTCCGCCGCGGCCTCACGCGGCTGGAGCATTGAGGGGGCGCTGGGGCAAGGGGAGGACGTCGACGTCTGGGAGGCGGGGCGGTGGCAGACAGTGGAGATGCTCACCATCTCCGGCCAGAGCGACGGCAAGCTCTTCCTGAAGGACGGCGGCCGTCCTGTCTACCCCGACGGCAAGGTCCAGAGCCCCCTGGACAACGTCGGCCTGGCCTTCGTCGACGAGTGGTCGGCCATCATCTGCGACGTGGTCGCCAAGGGCACCAAGCTGCACGAGGGTGACAGGCTGACGCTCAAGGAAGTGGAGGACCGGCTGTTCGAGGCGCTGCGTCTGCTGGAGGCCCCCGACCTCCAGCTGACTGCACCCAGCGGCCATGCCTTCCGGCAGCAGCAGACGGCCAGCCCCTCGCCACCGCCAGACGACGCACACCCCTACCACAGCCCCGAGGACGACAGGCGAGAGGAGCAGGCGCCACCACAGCCACAGCAGCCGGCGCAAGACGTGCAGGCCGTCATCGCCACGCAGGAGCAGCCACCAGTGAGCCGGAGCACCACCCAGCCCCACCACCCCTCCCCACCCCCCCGAGACAGGACCTTCGCGAGCAAGGATGCCTTGCCGCTCTCTCACGGTCGTCGTGGCCCTCCTCTCTCTCTCTCGCTGGCCTTTCAGCCCCTCCTAATGCGTCGCCGACTGACGTTCGTCGTCACGGCACGGACCGAGGTGGGTGGATCGCATCCATCCACGTGCGTCTGCATTCATGGTACTCACAACACGACGACACACACACGACACATCAAGGCATCTTTCCGTCATCCACTGCGTTGTCTGTCTGGGTGTGCCTCAGGTGGTCAAACCGCTCGCAGATATGTATCATGCCACAGGCGGAAGCGGTTCGTTCCTTCGCGGCGACTGACCCATCCGGATTGGTAAGTGCCTTCACATCAAGGAGGCATGACAGGGTGGCGGAGACATGTTTGGGATGGGCTTGGTGTGCCTGCAGATCGTTGTCTACATTTTATATCTCGGAGTGTCATATTCCATTACCATCGCTCGTGTCCTCCGGCCAAGCTGTCGGGGTGGCTGGCCAGATTGGGCCATCTACAGCTGCTGATGAGTCCCCTTCACTTATGTGATTCAGGTCAGCAGAGAGCCCCGCACCAGAGCCCCGCACCAGCCGAAGGTTGGCACGAATTTCCAGGCGAGAGCCAGAGAACAGGTAAGACGGGTAAGGGTGCAGTTAGCCAGGTGGGGGAGACAACAGAGAGAACAAGGCAGCGCCGCACCAATGTACGTGTCTGATGTGTGTGTGTGTGTGTGTGTGTGCACCTTCGCAGCAGAAGCAGGAGCAGCAGACAGCAGCTGATAGCAGCAGGATGCCGAAGGGCACCATCAACTTCAGTAGCGGCTTAAAGGCCGAGTTTGAGGAGGGCACGCAGCTGGGCAAGGGCAAGGGGGAGCCCGTCGTCATGGCCAAGCTCTGGCGGCCACTGCGTGATGCCCGTCAGAGCGGCCATCAAGCGGCTCACCCTCCACGAGGACCCACGCCTGCGGCACCTGCAGAAGCGGGACATCACCGAGCTGCGGCAGGAGGCCAAGACGATGAGGAAGATGATCGGCCGGGCGCCATTCATCAAGCTCATCGCAGCCGACACAGACGACACCAAGCCGGCCGAGTATGTGAGTAGCGACGGGGTCAAGATGCCGGTGCTGTGCGCAGCTATGGAGGCACTCGGTGAGTGAGCCCTACACACAGCACGCACATATGCGTCAGATCAGATCAGACGAGCGAGATGAAGGGGATGAAGGGTCATTCATCGTGTCAGTCAGTCATTGTTTTCTCCCTGTCTGTCTGTTGTGTGGTGTGTGCGTCATGTCCCGCATTGCATGCAGAGGGCAGCCAATTCGAGGAGATTAAGAAGGTCTTCGGGTTCGTCCCTGGTAGCCTCGGCTACAACGCGCGGGCCATCCACGAGCGTTTCGCGGCCACCGGCGGAGCAGCTCCGCCAGGACCTCATCGTCCTGACCAAGGCACTGGCCATGGTCGTGCAGGCGCACCGGGGAGCCGTGTGGCGCGGCGGGCTGCACCAGGACGGCTTCAACAAGAACATCATGCTGCCCAAGGCCGTCCTCAGAGGCGAGCGCGCCCTCAAGCCGTACCCGGCTGACAATGGCCAGAGGATGATAGACCTGGCCAACGTCATCCATCTCGGCGCCACCACCACCAGAACCGGCAGCGGGAGCAGCAGCAGCGGGAGCAGCAGCAGCAGCGGCCCACCCCCGCGCTTCGTGGGCAAACCCGCCCGCACCGCCCTCGTGCCCTTGGACCCTGAGCAGCAGCAACGGCGAGGGCAGATCGCCGGCAACACGGCCTTCTTCAGGTCGCCCGAGCTCATCATGATCACCACGCGCCACGGTGACGCCGCGCCCGACGGGCTCCAGCCGAAGGATGGCGAGTCGGCTGAGGTCCAGGCGCAGAAGGCGGCGCTCATCGCGGCGAGGGCCGAGGTGCGGGACGACCTGCGGATAGAGACACAGCTGAAGGTCACGTGCGACATTGTCTTGATGATGTGTATGTGTCTTCAGATCGCTGCCTACAGCTTTATATCTGGCGACCTCTTGTCTCTGCACTGTGGGCACTGTCGTGCAATTGGTCACAGGTCGAGCTCAGACAGTTGCAAACACACATACAGAATACCCGAGACATTGTTCTGATGTTGTTTGTGCCTTTAGACTGCTGCCTACACGGAGAGAGAGAGACAGACGCTCCCCAGTAACCAGCCCACTAAACAGCCACAGCCCTCCACATGCCTGTCGTCCCGAGTTCCGGCTACCAACTACGACAAGGAGCACCGCGGCAGCCTCCAGGATGTCGAGGACACCCTCTTCGCCCTCCTCATTGCCGAGGTGCGGGACGACCTGCGAGAGAGGTGGCTGCTGGTGGGGAAGGGCAAGGAGGAGGGCATCTGGGCGGGCGTGCCGGCTGCAGTCCACGGCGTAGGGCTGCTCATAGCCGCAGCGGGGACGCTCGGCTGGAGCATCGAGGGGCCGGTGACGGAGGGGGAGGACCAGCAGCTATGGGACAACACGAGGCGGTGGCAGGTGGTGGAGATGCTGTCGGTGTCCGGCTTCACCGACGGCAAGGACTTCATGAAAGAGGACGGCCGCCCCAACAGCGTCGACGGCTGCCCCCTGGACAAAGTCAAGCTTGCCTTTGTCCAGAAGTGGCATGACTGCATTTGCGCCATCGCCGCCAAGGCCACCAACTTCGAGGAGCAGGACCGCGGCACCCTCAAGGACGTCGAGGACGCCCTCTTCGCCGCGCTGAAGGTGCTCGAGCGGGCGAAACCCACTGCGTCGACTGCCCACACCACTCAGCACCCCACCCACGGCCGCCGCAGCACCTTCTGAAGACGCCAACCACGCCGAACAGCAGCAACAGCAACAGCAGCAGCAGCAGATGGTGAGTGAGGCCGCCCCAGCCGGACCGCAGCAGCCATGCGTGAGCCGGGCCACCTCAGAGCCCGAGCTGCCCGATGACGCCCGCCCACAGCACCCGCACATCAGCATCGCCGCGCGCATCGCCATGCCATGGCACCCACCAGCCCCTGCCCCGCTTGCCAAGCCATCTGGGGACTGCATCGATGTTGGTGACGAGGAGGAGGATTACGAGGACGAGGAGGCCGACAACACGCCCCCGCAGCACCGCAGCACCAGCCACCCCACCCACAGCTGCACACGCCCCTCCAGTGCCGATGCGCCCCACCCCCAGCCACATGGCCCCACCGCCACCGGCATATGTGCCATATCATGGCATCATTATGCAGACGGGGGGGGCCCATCAACCACGCCCGAGAGGCCCACTGGCGGCCCAGCGAGTGGACAGGGGAGTGGGAGTACTGGCAGCCATACGAGGACTGCCAGCGCCGAGGCCTGTGGATCGTGAGGTCCGCCACACAGGACCTTACCATGCGCAGCTGGGCCGTCGTCACCGACGTCATGGAGGGCGTAGAAAAGATAGGAACGGGCATCGCCAACGCCATCGCAGGCCTGTTCGGGCAGTGAGGAGGAGAGAGGGGGGAATGGCCTAAGATAGATAAGGCCGAGGGAGCAGAGCAGCAGCAACAGCAACAGCAGCTGTGAGATGGAGAAGAGACACAGTTGGAGATTACCGGACGGAGACATGGTCTTGATGATGTGCGCATGTGTGTGTGTGTGTGCCTTCTGCAGATCGCTGCGTACATTTTATATCCGACGGCCTCTTTTCTCTACATTCCGTGTTGGCTGCCTTGTCGGCCCCGCTCGAGACAGCCGCTGTCGGTCCCGCGTAAGCAACACAACACCAACAGAAAGGGTGTCCCATGCCTGTGTGTATGGTGTGCTCTGTTCCTGCGTGTGTGTGCTGCTGCAGGTGACGATGTGTGTGGGTGTGCCGGCCTAAGTACGTAATGCGAGGAACCCCCTAACTCGACATGCAATACGCCAGTTCAGGTGAGATGAGGACAGAGAGGATCGCATCGCGTGTCGACTCACACACAAGTGTGCTGCTGTGCTGGGTGCAGCTGGCTTTCTTTTTGCTCACTACTGCTCCATCAAGAGGGCCCGCATTTGCTCTGTTACGCTCCATTTTGCATGAGTGAGACAGTGGCGAGTGACGTGAATAAAGTCGGCGTGTATGGACGAGTACGTGTGCGCTGTGGCTGCTGCTGGGGTGGATGGTCGATGGAGGGTGACGGGATGGTGGGTGCACAGAATGAATGAACCAGCTCACGATGACCATTATCAAAAGAAGAAGATGTGTGCCGTTGACGCATACACATTCGAGCATCGGTCACTGCGCTCGCCACGAGCTGTCATCCATCTGGCGCTGCAGACGGATGACACCGAGTGGCCAACGACAGCAAAGAATCGCAACAATGAGCCAACGATACACACAGCATTTGTCGAGTCCATGGACGTGCTTGCACAGTGTGTCAGCCAGCCATCCTGTGTGGGCATCGTCTACTGTGACGTCAAGAGACGATTGCATCATGAGCGAAGAGATGCGACCGCCGTTGCCGACACGGAGGACGATCCACACACAGGACAGCTTGCACACATGGCATGCAGAAATCGAATTGACCGGAACACCAGAGTCTTCGTTGTTTCTGTGCCGACATCCCGACACAGACAACCCATGGAACCGAATCAGCCACACTCTTAAATGACGGCCGACTCCCTCCCTCCCTCGCTCAACATCTACACAGCCAGCATATATATCAGCCCTCCCCTCCCTCTCCCCTTCGTATGCACACGGCCCCCTCTCCCCCCCTCCACCCCCTCTCTTAAACGGCATACAGTGCGAACACGTTTGCCTGCCACGGGTGCAGCTTGAACCACACGCCCTTGTGCTGCGCCTCGCCGATCCTCCGCCCGTAGTTCTCGATGCCCAGCAGCCCGTGCAGCAGCACCTCCGGCTGGTCGCGCGTCTTGTGCGGCGGCACCGTCGCCAGATATGACGGCAGCTTGTCCGTCACCTGGCCAGGGAATTTGACGTGGCAGACGGCCTCGTGGCCGCTGAAGTTGCTCACGCACAGCAACGGGCACGCGTAGTACACGCCGCGGAATCCGGCCGGGTCGATGATGGGCCGGCCGCTCTCGTCGGTCAGCTCGGTGGTGGCCGTGGTCTCTGGCACGGCCTTGAGGGGCAGCGGTGGGGCCCAGAAGTGGGCGATGACGTTGTGCCAGGAGTCGTTGCCCTCGCCGCCGGCGTACACCTCTGCCTTGATCCAGTCGCCGTTGCGGATGGCGGGGCGGCGCAGGATGTCGAGGATGCTCATGTACAGGCCACTTGCCTCGGGGTTGGGCGCCTCGGGCGGACGCACCACTCGCTGCATCTCCAGGTGAAACTTGCGACCTGCAAAAAGGAGAGGGAGGGAGCAGGGGAAGGTGCCATCTTTGTTCCTCTCTCTCCCTCCTCTCTCTCTCCTCTCTCTCTCTCTCTCTGTGTGTGTGTGTGTGTGGTTGTGCTTGCGGACCTTCGAGTTGTCCATCGTAGAAGAACCGGCAACCAGGCGACGTGAAGCAGGCGACGGCCGCGGCGCGATGCTCGTTGATGTGTTTGAAGGTGTCGGCCGAGCGGTCCTCGTCGTGATTCTCCAGGAAACGCACCAGCTTGGACTGATAGCCCAGATCTGCACCACACAACAACCAGAGAAAAAAGAGAAATACAGCCAGCCAGCCATTACTGATACATACCCATTGGCCTGATCTCGCTTTCATCTCACTGACCTGCATGGAGGTGCATTCTGGCTTCATTGCCCTCTCTCAGCTTGAGCCGGTCGAACAGCCGTTTGTCGTAGCAGTAGTCGAAGCCCTGCTTCTGCAGGTGGAACTCCATGTCCCAGTACACCTCGGCCATGAAGATGAACTCGGGGTTCTTCGACTTGACGCTCTTGATCGCCTTGGGCCAAAACTCCTGCACCAGCACCCACCCACCCACACACACCACACACAGGCAGAGAGAGGGGTGGTGTGCATATGTGAGCCGATCAGTGCCACTATGTCATTGTGTCACGCACCTCGAAGTGTCCGAGGTCTCTGCCCGTGGCCTGGTGGTAGAGGCCGCCCCAGGTCTTCCTGAAGATGTCGGTGGTGACGAGCATGGCCATGTCGCACCGCACGCCGTCCGCCATGGTCGATATCTTCTCCAAAACCTCCGTCTGCTGCCGCCTCAGCGCCTCCTCGGCGTAGTTGAGCTGGCACGTGTCCTGCCACCCGTCGAAGTAGGGATCCTTGCCGTGGGCGAAGATCTTGCCATGGTGGCCCTTGAAGAAGTTCTGGGGCTGGGTGTGCAGCAGGTGGTCGTTGCCGGGGAAGATGAAGTGGGGCGAGTCCTGCACCCACGGATGGTCATGTGCGATGTGGTTCGGGATGAAGTCGACCAACAGACGCATGCCACGCTTGCCTGCTCGAGAGAGAAGACGCACATGCAGTGGGAGAAGGCTGTGGCAGGTGTGCTGGATTCCCTCCCTCCTCCCTCACCGAGTCTCATCCGCAGTGTCTTGAGGGCCTCATTGCCGCCGAAGTCGGAGTGGACGTCGTAGCCCGTGACGGAGAAGGGAGAGGAGCACACGTGGTCCTGAGGTGTCTGGGGCGAGATCTTCTTCATGTGCTTGCGGGCCTCCTCCAGAGACCTGCACGCGGCACGCATCCACGGTGACACATATAGTCCTTTCCCTCTGCCGGGCTGTGTTTCTTGCGCCGGTCGTCTCACCTCTGCCCTGTACTCCAGACGCCCAGCAGGTAGAAGATGTCGAAGCCCAGCGCCGAGATGCGGTCGAGGTACTCGTCTGGGATGTCCTCGAGCGTCGCCTTCCTCTTGAGCACATGGCCGAGCTCGAACGTGATGATCCGCGCACTCACTTGGAACAGAGTGGGATGCTTTGGAAGGGGCCGGATAGAAGCAGATGGAGCGGACATCTTGGAAAACTGCAGATCTCTCCAGGCCTGCGACGCGAGCTTGGAAGCGCGCTTCCGTTGTTTTTTCCAGCTCTTCCCCCCTTTCCCTCCCTCCTCCTCCTTACTCTCGCTGTTACTCCTGCTCCTTAAAAGCATCCACATATCCGTCGGCGATGACTTCCAGAGCGGGCCCCCCTGGCCTGCCGTCTTTGCCACAGAGTTTGATGCAACGACTCGGAGATGATGCGCCCAGTGCAGCAGGAGGGGACGCCGAGAGCCGGAGCGATTCCTCATCGCAGCCTAGGCAGCTAGCGCTGCCGAGTGTAGACAGCGGCAGCAGCCCCACCAGTCAACTAAAGACTCTTGACCAGCTCAGCTGGGTCAAGTAAGCAGGAGACGGGGGAATGGAAAGGACACGAAACAACGGCTTCACGGCTTCCTCACTGCATGTACGCCTGGTGGCTGTCCACAGCATTCCAAGGGTGCTCTATCAGGCGTTGCTGATGCTTGTAAGTGACGGTGCAGACTTTGATTCATTGGTGACTTGGATGTTGCTGCAGGACCGACGGACGAAGAAGATGGCTCAGGACATGGAGAGCACTCGAAAACTTCTCGTTGATGAGCTGAAGGAACTGAAGCAGCAGGCTGCAGCACCATCCCCTCCAACCAAGGCGCGTCCGCCCTCCCCGCACGTGCTCCTTGGCGCTGCGGGTTTTTCACCCGAGGCAAGCCGCCCACCATCGGCACGAAGTGCAGTCCGCCTCCCTCCGAAGCCATCGGGCGGTGAGGCGTCCCCCGACTCTGCACCGACGCCTCATTCTGAGGAACGACTGAATGAGATGATCGAGAAAAAGGTGGAGAAGGTCGTGGACGCGCGGCTCATCGACATCAAGAAGGCAACCAGTGAAATGGAGACAAGGTGACAGAAGGAGACTCATTTCAGGAAGTCACGGCTTTCTCACCTGGGCTTTTTGTCTTATAGGGTATATCGTGTGGAGCAGACAGCTGTGAAGTTTCTCCGTCTTGTCGACAATGTTCGCAACGATGCGTCAGCTGCCATCTCACGAATGGAGCCGATCGAAGCTGAGTTGACAGAGATAAAGGCGCATTTGGAGGCACAGCAAAAGAAACTCGAACAGCTGGACGAGACATGCCAAACAAAGGTAAGAATGCAGGCAAGGAGAACCCTTGTGTAATCTACCTGCTGTTTATTCATCAGGCCCTTGAGACGATGGCGAGGAGGGTTTTCTCGATTGACATGAGCATCATCCTGAAGTCAGCCTTCGATCCGCTCCTCAAGGACGTCGCTCGAGAGTCAGGCAAGAAACCGGAGGTCTCTGACCTTGTCGGCATCCAGAGAGACATCCAGGAAGGCATCAAGCAGATGATTGGCAGTATCAAACACGCCACCGATGACATGGACAAGCTGAAGTAGGGCGAGACAAGACAAAAGACTTGCACAGGAAGAAATCATGTGTGAAATGGTCATCTGCAGGAGAGACACGACCCGCATCGATAGCCACAGCGATCAGCTGGCGAGCCTTCAGGGCATGAAAGAGACTGTGGCAGCGCTGAAAGAATCGATGGAGCACATGGCGGACATTTCACCTCGAGCAGCGATCGCAGAGACACCGTCAAGTACGGGGGCAGCTGAGAGCTCAGAGATCCTGCAAGCGATGCGTGAGGATCAGAAGAAGTTGATGGTCAAGATCTCGCAGCAGCAGAAGGCAATGGCTGAGATGCAGAAGAAGATTGAGCAGCTCGAGAGCGATGTGCGTCGCCCGAAGGCAGTAGAGGAGGCCCCGGCAGCCGTGACAGAGGCGCCGAGTGGGGAGGAAGCGATAACAGCAATCGATAAGGAAGAGATGAAGGCGCTTTTGCAGCGATGTGAGCAGCGGGCGCTGAACACGATCGAGATGACAGGTACAAAGAGAGACACACAATCAAAGTCTTTGTAAGGGCTTCCGTGTCTTGACCTCGTTCCGTGTCTTGACCTTGTGCCAGAGCAAAGGCTTCGTCAAGAGTTCAGCATCAGGCTTGGTGAGGTCCGTCGATCGTCGTTCAGCGAGACCAATCGCATGGATGAAACAGTCAAACGACTGCAGCGAATGTGGGACGTAAGCATACACAAGCAGCGGCATCAAGCGCAGTGTCAGAGCTGCACAATGGCGATTTCTTCTCTTTTGTTCGCCTGCAGGACATGCATGAGGCATATGAGATGTCAAAACAGACAGGAGTCGATTTGTCTGGGGCGAGGCTGCACCACGTGGAAAGCCGAATCAGGAACCAAGAGGAATACCGCATCCGGGACCATACTGAGTATGCCATTTGAACAATGGAATGCATTCATCGCCCCGGCATTCTCTGATCGGTGCTTTCCTTCTTGCAGAATTAATGAGCGATTCGCCATGCTGGAGAACGCGCTCCAAAGCGTTATAGAGCAAGCAATGCCTCCCCATTTGCTGCCCCCTTCTCGTCGACCAAGCCAAAGCCGAACCTCACCTGTCACTCCCCGTGACAGCACGGCTGACGTCCACGCAGCTGCAGAGGAGACGGCGCCCTTCGCTATCCCCACCGGCTTTCGCTTCAGCGTGGGCTCGGCACCCGGGACCAGAGGACGCTTGGGCTTTGGATTGGATAGGACTCATCATAGGAGTGGCATGTCTCGTCCTGCCGGTCCGTCACTGCCTGCGTCGCCGCGACAGCGGGACAAAGAAGGCGACCTACAAGACATCGCACAGCTGCGGCCATCATCGGAAAGAATGCGGACGAGAAGGGATACGACACCGGTGAGGTTCGAGGCTTCAGCAGCGCCAATGTCTGTCTCCATCCCGTCAGCGGCTCCTGAGAAAGGCGGTGAAGGGGGGTCCGCTGAGCGCATGGCTCACAAAATGTCCCTGCCGTCAACCCCCTATCGCACTCCTCGACCTCTGCGTGGCGGCATTTCGGCACCTCGGTGGTCCAACCTCGCCATGTCAACACCCACAACAGACAATGTATCGACAACCGCATCGCGAGCGGCTAGTACGGGCTTTCAGCAGTCGACTCTGCAAAGAACGCGCGTCGACACGGAGGAGAGCATAAGGGCGTCGCGTGCCAGGTCTATTGTGAACGCGTTGGAGGTGTCATCCCCTCTGACTCCCCTCCCACCTGACGGCCGCCAGCTTTTTCCCACCAGCAGGCCCAGCTCCCGCGCACGGATGATGAAGGAGAGGCCGAAGACGCCGCCCGCTGTTCCTGAAGAGCCCCTGCCTCTCCTACCCGAGACACACGAGGATATGGTCGTCACCGAATCAGTGCGCCGCCCAATCGTGGAACTGACTGCCACGGGAATGCAGGTGGCAATACCCGAGGCACAACGGAGAAGAGCGAACACGCCAGCGGCGTATTCCCATAGTGCCGCCACTGAGGGGGACCAGAGCGCTGTCGGGAGCGCTGTCGGGATGAGCGAGGACATGCTAACGGAAACTGGCCGACAGCCTGACCAGCTCCAGCCGGCAAGGGACGAACCTGCAGAAGAAGTCGTGATTGAGGAGATGGTGACATTCCAGCCGATCCCATTTCCGCTAATGGAGAATCTGTTCAGGCCACAGACTGCTCCTCGGCCCGTCGGAGGCACGGAAGGTGACACACGAGAACCTGTCCAGTACCTTACCGCGACGCAGTACACAAGAGATCTGACAGCGCCTCGGGCGAAATATTCGGCGCGGCTACTGAAGAAATTGAGCGAGTCTACGGAGACAGAATTGAGGCAGCAGAGAGGGACTTTTGTGTCGGTGCTTGGTGTGTCTACACCCGCACATACGCAGCGGTTTTGGTCCACAATTACCCCGCCACGCTTCCATCGCTCTGTGGCGGAGGGCCAAGCGCCAGAGGAGGCACGAGTGGCTCACTATCTCTCTCTCGTAAGCCCTCCTGTCTCGCCCCCGCAGACAAGCCGAGCTGTGACAGCGCCACGACCGTCATCGGCGGGATAGACTACACGAAGAGGAATATGTACATGACGAAGGTGCTTGATACGAAGTTAGAAAGGGATCGATAGGTCTTTCGGCGGTCGATGTTTGATCGGTCAGTCGTCACGAAGAAGAAGAGTAGTGCACGCAGACGGACACACATGAACCTACACGAAGATAAACACCTTTGCCTCTCGACCACTGATAACAAACGCGGGTTCCCATCAGTACATACACACGAGCAGACACCGCCAAACACGGCTCACTTGGACCTGACAAATCTCACCTCCACAGGGCCTACAATTTCGTGGCGTTTCGGGTGAGGGGTCATGTAATGTACCTTCTTGGAACATTTCGTAGTACCAGCTCTCTTACTACCAAAGGGAGATGCGGCAGAGAAAGTATTGGCTGCACACACACTCCACACACTCGCAAAAGAAAAGCCAGACAAACACCTATTCTTCTGGTAAGACCATAAGAGTGCACGAAATATGGACCACGGAGTTGACAACGCATACACACACAGACACACAGGCCATCATAAATGAGCACATGAAGAGGGACACAGACACATTCAGACATACACACACACACCGGCGCAGGAAGAGAACAGGCACATGCACAAAATGCTCATTGAAGACACACGCGCACTAACGAAACGGCGATTCATACGCCAGCTGACACCTAGCTGCCTGCGATCGCATCACCTAGTTCCTGTGACCCAGTGCAAGAAGTCTTGAAACGAGCTCCCTCGACTCGGCCGTCTCTCCGACTCCTTGGCGCCCTCCTCCTGCTGCTGCTCTCTCACCATTTGGTACAGCCGCTGTGTGGCCTGCATGGTCTTGAAGAGGAGGGTCGGCACATTGACGTAGAGCGCCTTCTCTCCGTCAGCAGACGACTCGAAAACTGCCTCGGGAAACTCCTTCTTCAGCTCATCGGCCAACACACCTGCACATGCCACGACACCAGCGAGACATACACAGAGAGATCAACCCTCTTCCCGTCTGGAATGTGAGAACAATCCTGCTGACCGAAATGCTCTTTGCGGGAGTCGACGGACCGGTCGTCCCCGTGTTTCCACCTGTATGTGTGGAACTTGACCCTCTCGAGGGCCGCCAGAGCGCCGGCAGCCTCCCACTCAGACTTGACTGTCACCTGTGTCTTGTATCGGCCGTCACTCAGCGTGCCGAGTTCGGTGCTGAACAGCTTGTTGGCAAAGACCTCGTTGATTGGTAGATCAATGCCGCAGCCGATGTAGCCCTCGCCCTCAGCCAGCGTGTCGGATGCTGATACACACACATATATAGGCAGTTGGCGCAAGAGATCACTGTCGCGTCTGTGTCTCTGGCATACCGCCGTCTGCGAAGTCGTATATGCCAAGAGCAGGTGTCCCCCCGCATTGGTACGTCGCCCACTGCAGGTCACCCTTGCGCGTGCCAATGAGGTCCTCCTCGACTGGCAGCACGACGTCGCCAATGGTAGCAGACGTGTCTCCCGGGACGTCATCACCGCCCGTGTCGGTTGTCCCTCCCCCTCCTCCACCGCCAGTGGGAGGCGTCCCTCCACCTCCTCCACTGCCGTCAGTGGTCGGCGAGTCAGTCGTTGTAGTTGGCCCCTCAGTTAAAGTGCTGGTGGGCGAGTCAGTCGTAGTCGTTCCGTCGCCGGTTGCTGTGCTTGTGGATGTGGTGGTAGCGGAGGGCGTAGTAGCCACCTGAGGTGTTGTGCTGATAGCTGTGACTGACGGCGTAGTCACCACAGCGACGGTATCGCCTGGCTGGTCTGGTGTGTCGCCTGGCTCATCAGCAATGGGCTCATCCACAGGGGTGTCATCAACTGTGTCGACTGGTTCGGCGACAGTATCGTCTGGTGTGCCGCCTGGCTCATCGACAGTGGGGTCGTCAACAGTTGGCTCATCGACAGTTGGGTCATCGACCGGCGTGTCGGCCACTGGGGCGGCTGGTGGCTCGTCAACTGGGGCGGCTGGTGGCTCGGCCACTGGGGCGGCTGGTGGTTCGTCAACTGGGGCTGGCTGCTCGAGTGGATCTGGCCCTGGAGGTTCTTCGCCTCCTGGAGGTTCTCCGCCTGGAGGTTGCGCCCGCACATTCGCAACGAGCAGGAAGGCAAGGATGACCAGCCGAAGGAACTTCATACGGAGAAACCTGCAAAGGCAAACACGCTGTACATTACAACGGCTGCGAGCTGAGAATTTGCGCGCGCCTGGTATCTCCCGAATAACATGCTCTCCTCTGTTGTCCTCCTCGCCTTGCTGCTCGCCCTCTCTCACTCTGGCTCTTGTTTTCCCAAGATCCCCTACGCGTGCTCCAGTGAAGGACGTCCGTGGTGCGACACTCATCGTCCACTTGATGAGCGGATCAACCTCCTCATTGACGCCCTCCCCAAGCCTTCTCCCGTCACGGGCGTCCCATCAGTCCTCCGCTTCATGCTCACGGCTCGTGGTGCGGTTGGAGGAGGTGAAGACGACAAGATCGGCCTCCCGCGCTACGACTGGGGAGCCAACTGTGTGCACGGCGTCCAGAGCAGATGGTGAGCCGTGCATAGATCGCACAGGAGATGGATGGATGCACGTGGTCATTTCGCCATGCATCTGGTTTGGTCCTTGTGTGGGTGAATGCAATTGCAGTACTTCCGATGGTTACTGCCCTACAAGCTTCCCGAATCCTATCGGCCTGGGAGCGTCATTCGATGAGCCGTCGTGGCGGAAGATGGGCAACATCATCGGTCGGGAGTTGAGAGCGCTCTACATGGCTGGTGTGGGCGAGAACAACCCGCAGAGCATCCCCAAGATCGGCCTCGACTGTTGGTCGCCCGTCATCAACATCGGCAGGGACCCCAGATGGGTAAGTGGCGTGGGCAGGCTGGTCAGTCAGTCAGTCAGCCAGTGCGTGTATGCAAGGATGCAACAATCTAATTCCTCGTATTGAGGCCAAGGGCCTCTGAAAAGAACTCTGTTACCCTTTGTCTGAGCTCATACTCGACTGCTGCATGATTTGATTTGTACATTCAACACACAGTCAGCCTGTCGCCTGATTTCCTCTTTCTTGTCTTTGTCTGTGTCCATTGACAGGGGAGGAATTCCGAGGTGCCAGGCGAAGACCCCTACCTCACCAGTCGCTTCGGCGTGGCCTATACCCAAGGCATGCAGAACGACCCAGCCGACCCGTCCCGCCTGCTGGCCATCACGACCCTCAAACACTTCGCCGCCTACTCTCTGGAGGGCAATCACGCCTTCCTCGGGCCCGTCAATCGGCACAACTATGACGCCAACGTGACCAAATACGACCTCCTGGCAGACTACTTCCCCGCATTCGAGGCATCGGTCAGGGAGGGAGGCGCCAAGGGCATCATGTGCTCTTACAACGAGGTCAATGGGGTGCCTGCGTGTGGCTCCTCTTACCTGCTGACGGAGGTGCTCCGAGATCAGTGGGGGTTCGACGGCTATGTGACATCTGACTCTGGTGCTGTGCGTGACATCTTCACACCCCACAACTACACCAAGAGCGACGCTGAGAGTGTCCAGCTGGCGCTGCGGGCGGGCTGCGACGTCAACAGCGGCAACATTTACTTTGTGCACATGTCAGAGGCCCTCAAGGCTCGACTGATCAACACAGACGACATCTACCGGGCCCTTCATCGCACACTCAAGCTGCGCTTCCAGCTGGGCCTGTTTGACCCCATTGAGGACCAACCCTTCTGGCAGATTCCCCTCAGCGACGTGGGCAGCAACGCGACCCAGCAATTCAACCTCCAGCTGACGGAAAGGACCTTCGTCCTTCTGCAGAACCCCAACACCATCCTCCCGCTCGGCCCGCCGGCCGGCAAGGACAGGAAGATCGCCGTCTTGGGGCCATTTGTGGCGCGAAAGCAGGACATCATCGGCAGCTACCTCGGCCAGATCTGCCCGGGCAGGTATGGCGCCTTCAGCTGCATGCTCAGTGTGGCGGAGGGCATCGAGCAGCGCGCTAACTCGCTCGGCTGGTCTGTCGAGTCGATGGAGGGCACTGGAGTGCAGCATGGCGACCCGGCCGAGATGCAGAAAGCTGCTGACATGGCCGCGAGCGATGATGTGGACATTGTCATCGTCACTTTGGGCATCACGAAGCAAATCGAGAGCGAGAGCCGCGATCGGAAGGATGTCCTTCTGCCACAGACGCAGCTGACCTTCGTCCACACCGTGCTGGAGGCCGTGCAGCAGGCGAACAAGAGCAAGAGAGTGGTCGTTGTGCTGTTCGGCGGTGGCTCGATCGATGTGGGCTTCCTGACGGACCAAAACGTGGCTGTGGTAATGGCCTGGTACCCATCCTTTCTCGGCCCCCAGGCACTGGCGCGTGTCGTGTTCGGCGACACGAGCCCGTCCGGCAAGCTGCCCGTCACTTTCTACCGTGCCGCTGATGTGGACAAGATGGACTTCCTCTCGATGCACCTCCACGAGGGCAGCGGTCGCACACACCGGTATTACAAGGGCGACCCTCTGTGGCCCTTCGGCCACGGGCTCACCTACACACACTTCACCATCGTCCTGAGTGGCCACACAGAGAAGAGCGGCAACACACTCGTGATTCGCGGTGACGAGAAAACGGCCCAGCTGGCAGCGGACGTGACCAATGACGGCGAGAGGGACGGGGAAGAGGTCATCATGGTATTCTTCCGGAGGACTGACAGGCCCACTCGAGTGTTCCGGCAGCTGATGTCCTTCCGTCGAGTCGCCATCAAGAAGGGCGGGCGGGAGAGAGTCACATTTAGTCTGACGAAAGAGGCCTTCAGGCTGTACTCACATGTGGACGGGGCGGCGCTGCCCCTCGCCGGCCAATACGAGGTGGAGGTCACAAATGGTGTGGATCAGAGGGCCGTGTGCAGTGTTACGATCGAGCACAGCCAAGTGACAGACGATGTGATTGTGGCCAAGTAGAGTTAGTACGTGAGTTAGTTAGTTGGCCACAGTGTTTTTTGTCGTCAGTGATGTTTTTTCCTCAATTTTCTGCGTGGAGGGGCTGGTGGATACCGTCTGTGTCGGCCAGGGGGGATTGGTTGCTCAGTGGTTGTTGCCGCAAAGGTGGACGTACAGTGCATGTATGTCGATTTCATTGTGTGTCTCCTACGATTACTGGTGTGTCTCTGAGCAAAAATGTGAAAAACATCGTTGAAGCAGATGGTCGTTTCTTCAGCAAACACATATACACATTGACTCATGGGTCCAATAGCACTCACATGCTGAGACGTCGGGAAGAGACGCCCACCGCGGCCCCCGGCAAAGAAGCTCGCCAAAGAGCTCTGACGATCATCCCAGGTGTTCTGCGGGATGGGGAGGAATCAGGAGCTGTTGGATGCCTTGAGCAAAACCATAAGTGATGCCGAGGGCCGTGAGATCTCCGTGTCAAGGTCACGCTTCTCAAGTGGTTGAGATCTCCATGCTTTCCATGCTGTTGCAGCTGTGGCGGCCATGGCAGCTTCTTCAGTGGAGGCGGCGCCTCAACGTGCAGTGTGCAAGACGAAAACACCGGACAGAAGTCAGTTGGGATGCTGGACGGACGCACGACGCATACGACCATCCATCTGATCTGCTGTTGTCCTGTGTGCCAGGTATTTCGTGAAGGTGGGCAGCACTCGGCAGTACGACATGCTCAAGGCCGAGTACATTGGCGTGCGTGAGATGTACAACACCAAGACAATCCGCGTACCGAAGGCCATCGGTCACGGCAGCACCGCCACACAGGCCTACGCCGTCTTCGAACACCTCAATCTATCGGGCTCTCGACGGGTGAGCAGGGCAGGAGAGGTCGTGAATGAAGGCGACACCATCTCTGCCATGCCTCTGTGTGTGTGTGGTCGTCAGGGCGGTCGTGCGTATGAGATGGGCGAGAAGCTGGCGGCCATGCATCGGCACACCTCCGCCAACGGATGCTTCGGCTTCGACATACCCAACACATGCGGCGTGACACCCCAGCCCAACGAATGGACAGAGAGGTACATAGCCGCACACGCAGAGAGAGGCAGTCAAGCCACGAAGCCGGTGCACCGACCGCTGTGCAGCTGGCCGGTGTTCTTCGACACGTATCGACTGCACAATCTGTTCGAGAGGCTGCGCAAGAAGAGGGGCATCACATTCGCCAAGGAGGAGGAGGTGGGTGGTTCGGTGGGTAGATTGGCGGCCTCTTCAATGAACTAGAGTGTCTGGTGTTCTTGCTCAGGTTCGTTCCAAGATCAAGTCAGTTCTGGAGGACCATGTAGCCAAACACAACCCGCCTGCATCACTTGTGCATGGTGGGTTGTCAGCAGCCCTCCACACGTATGTCAACGCCTGCCTGCCATCTTTGCGTGCGGTCAGGTGACCTGTGGACGGGCAACGCCGGGTTTCTCGACACCGGCGAGGGCTGCATCTACGACCCAGCGTGTGCATACTGCGACCGCGAGTACGACCTCGCCATGACCCACCTCTTTGGGTCGCTCCCCCGCCCCTTCTATGAGGGGTATGAGAAGGCGTGGCCGCTTCCAAAGGATGGACAGCAGCAGCGGCAGGAGATCTACAACCTGTGAGCCAGTCAATTCTGTGCATGCGTGATGTCATGGGGGGGGCGTGATGTGTGCAGGTATCACGTGCTGAATCATGCGCTGGTGTTTGGCGGGGGCTACGTCCAGCAGGCGGAGGCGATGATGGACGAGATACTCACCTACTGATGACTGAGTGAGTGGTTTTACGAGCCGTGTGCGTGTGTGTGTGGTGCTGTTTTCTCCCCTTCTGCTACTCGGCCCGAAGGTCAGCTCCTTTCAGGAGACGAGCACACTCCTGCAGAGCACTTGCCTTTGGGTCCGGTAGGACAAGGGGAGAGGGAGTACGAGCACACGCGAAGCGAAGGGGTGTCTCGTCCCGGTGGGGTTGGTTCTGTGAGTGGCTAGTACATGAACGCCTTGTACTGAGTCATTCATGTGGACCGACAGACTCTGGGATCGTTCGATGAGTGGCTGGTGCCGTGGGGGTGCGATGGAGCTACAAAAGAGTATCGGTGCGATGGACCTTTTCATTGTACACTTCTGTCCATTGACCATCCAGCGTCCTGCATCCATCCAAGCACCCACCACTGGAAGTCGTTACACTAAACATGAATAAGAACCGTGACGCACCCCTCCTCCCCCTCCTTGCCCACCAGTATCATCCGCGCTCCACGAACGTGTGTGCACACCGCTCGAAGAAGGCGGAAGAGACTGCAGAGGCAGAACGGGTCGGAGTGGGCGAGTGCACCGCGTGTAGATCAAAGGCCAGCAGTCAACGAGTTGGCCAGAGAGACAGCGAGGGAAAAGTCATTCATTCATCCATCCATCCATCCATTATACAAAAGACAGGCCGCACCCGCACCGCCAGCAATTTCTGCACTGCTATCTGCCTGCCATCCACCCATGCTCTCTTCCCGTCTGTCTCTCTGTGTGCCTGCACCCTCACCTGGCTGCCTGCATTTGTCAACACACATGTCACCACACATCCGTGCTGAAGAAGAAAGGCGACCAGACCGAGGACGACACGCAGAGGCACGGAGGAAGGGAAGGAAAAGTCAACAAGGGCAAAGATCACTCCTCGCTTGACAGCCCGTAATAGTCATCTACATCAGCAGTTCACCCAGCCAGCCAGCCAGCCAGCCAGCCAACCAGCCATGAGACATGGACAGCAGCCACATGAATGCACGCAGGCCGGAAAGCACACCGTCTTCCATTACGCACACACCAGCCAGCCACCCACCCCCCTCTCTCTCTCATTATTCACTCACAGTCAGCTAAATGCCCCCTTAGCCCCTGCCCATGCACCATCACGCTTTCCTATCTGGCTTCGGCTGTCTCTGTCACCCGATCAGCACCGGCAAACCGAGTGGTGTCCACTTCGCTATTGACAAAGTGGAATGCACTCGAGAGCTCGATGCTGAACGGCGAAGGGAGACACCCGCTGATATCTCTGATCTGATGGGCGGAAAAATGTCGAGGTAGCTATGCTATCTGCGCTCTCTTCTCTCCCTCTCTCAGCGCCTCTTCTGTGTGCCGCACTTCTCATCCGACACGTCCAGTCGCGACGCAGTGGCACTCTGCGAGTCCGACGGCCGCGACACAGCTAGAGGACAGGACTCCGGCAGCAGACCCCGCCCAGAAAACTGGCTGCCCGACAGCCGAGCATCGCCCTCAGAGTTGCTCTCGGAACGCATCACCGCGGGGGGCAGAGCGCTGGTCGATGAAGCGGGAGGCGGCTGCTGCTGCTGCTGTTGCTGCGGGTACATGGGCGATGGTGAAGCGGCGTTGTCGCAGTCGTTGCCATTTGGCGTGGCGGGGGCGCCCTCCACCTCTGCCTCCTGCGGAGGAGGGTGCGACAGCTGCAGACCTGACCCGCCCCCCGCCGCTCCCCCCTGTTGCTGGGGGTTGACAGCCGCACCATCGGCCACCGGCTCGCCCTGCGCCACGGACGACTCCTCGCCTCCCTGGCTGCTGCTCGAACCCACGCGATTCTCCTCGTATGCGTGGAACAGCGGGCTGGGCTGTGTGGTCGTGTTTGGCGTCTCGGTGGCCTGAGGTGCTGGTGGTGCGGGGGAGGATGGGGCGGGGCCGGATGGACATGGGGAGGGTTCTTCCTCGGTGACGGCGGCCTGGGTGTCCTTCTGCTGCCGCAGGAACCAGTCGCAGTAGCGCTTAAGCTGGGCGGCCTGAACGAAATGGAATGGATGGACGGATGGATCCCACGACAAGGGAATGGGTGGATGGTCGGAGGATGTCTCGCAGCCATGATGATTGTGGTGTGTTTACCTGGTACTGTTCGGCGACTTGTTTGACGGCGAGGACGTTCTGCTGAGTGATGCGCTGGTAGAGCTCCTGCTCACACATCTCCTTGACGGGCTCCAACATAAACTCATCAGACACCTGCACATACACATAGACACACCAACCACACACACATCACTGGCTGGTCTCGCACACAAGCCACCTAATCTATCCCTCCCCTACTCTGCGCTCACCTGCAGCAGCTCGACCAGGAACGGTATGTCGTTGGGGTCGCCCATCAGGCCGCCCGCCGCCCCAGCACCAGCACCAGCCCCACCACTGCCCCCACCGGCCGCAGCAGCAGCAGCCGGGCTGGGCCCGCTGGATGCGCCCATGCGGTATGCGAAGGGCTGTGAGTTGTTGATGGATAGGGAAGAGAGTGAGAGCGGCAGGGGGTTGTAGATGGACGAGAGGGCGAATGGGCGTGGGGGCATGACTGAGGGGCGGTAGCGGAACTTGACCTCGCCCGAGTACAGGAAGTCCATCATCGACTCAAACACCTCGTAGCGCACACCGGGGATCTGCACACATACATACAAGGGGTGAATGGATGGATGGATGAATTGATGGCCTTCTCTGTCCGGGTGTGTGGGATGTGTGTGAGTGCTTTGTTTGTTGACCTCGATTTCCTTCTCGGATGACTCCTTCATGCCGCTGGTGAACATGGCGCGGAATCGGTCGCTCAGCAGACACAGAATGATGCGGTGGGCGTAGTACTGACGCCCCTCCACAATCTAGTACGACACAAGACACACACACACACACACACAGAGAGAGAGAGAGAGAGCATCATCTGTGCTCTTGAGGGCCATGTCGTGTATGTGTCTCTGTGCCTTACGAATGTGATATCAGAGAAGGTGGGGTTGTTTCTGAACTCCATGAGTGAGGTTCGGAGCTTCTCCAGGCTGGACGAGGTCTCCGAACGGGACACATCCGGCGCGGGATCTGAACAAACGCAATCAATCAATGCCGGGGGGAGGGAGAAGGAGCTATCCATCCATCGACCCGCTTCTGCTGCTACACATCCATCCGTCGATCTCCACACGCACCCACCTGTGTCGAGTATGTGGCAGTCGCGGAAGTATGTGGGGCCGAAACTCCCACCCAACACAAACACCTTGCGGTCAACCTAAGGACACACACGCACATGCACACACTCGTGAGTGAGTGACGACGGTGTCCTTGGCTGTCTGTCTGTCTGTCTGTCTGTGTGTCTGTCATACCACAGCAGCGACGTGTCCGGCCCGTTTGTCCGGTCGTGGCATGTCCTCGTCCATGGGCGGCTGAAACCACGTCTGGTTGTCTGAGACACCATCAGATGAACACACACGACACAGAGAGACAAACAGAGAGAGATGCATTGACTGACACGGCTGTCTCTTGTTCGTTCGTCAGCTCAATGCAACGGGTGGTCATTTGCTGACTCACCAGGGTCGTAGCAGTGCAGGTCGTTGAAGCACTTGGTGGCATGGCCCGAGCCGCCAAAGAGATAGAGATAGCCGCGGATATAGTTGAGCGACATACCCGCCCGGGCGTGGGGGATGGAGCCCTTGACCTCCGGACGCGTCCACACCAGCGTCTCTGATGTGCACACACACATCCACACATCCGCCCGCGGCTCTCCCCTCCCAGTCTGTCTGTCTGCACATCCAAGTGTGGTTGGTACATACCTGTGTCGAGCACGTAAAGGTCGTTGAGCCGCTTGTGGCCATCCCACCCCCCTTCAGGCCGACAAGGACAGACAGACAGATACAGGACTGACTCATTTCTCCCCGTGTGCGTTTTGTGTGTACGTGCCCTCTCAGCTGCTTACCGAAGACGAAGAGCCGATGTCCGGCCGTGGCCGACGAGTGGTTGGCGCGGGGGGGCGGGATCTCGCCAAACGACTTGACGGGATGCCACTCCATCGCCTCTGATGTCCACACAAAAAGGAGAGAGATGGATGGGCGTCCTGTGTTCGATTCGTGCACATGTCTGTGTGTGGGTGTGGGTGTCTGCCGTACCAATGTCGAGTGCGTGCAGGTCGTTCAGGTACGCCCGACCATCGCCGCCTGGAGCAGACGCACAGACAGACAGACAGACGGCCCATTTGAGTGCGTGCGATGATGAGTGTATGTCGAGTGCGCACGCCTACCTCTGAAGACGAGTATCTTCTGTCTGTTGTCAATCTGGACGAGGTCGGCCGTGTGCATGTTGCAGGGGCCGGGGGGATCCCCATTCACAATGGGATCGACCCAGCGCTTCTGAGCTGCACCACACACACCCAGACACACGAGAGCCGAGATCTATCACGCGTGTGAAGGCCTTCTTTGTGCTGGCATCCCTCCCTCCCTCCCTAATACGATAGGCACCCACCCAGGTCGAGTATGTGAAGGTCGTTGGCGGCGAGAGGTCCGCTGCCCAGCCAGCCGCCCAGGATGTACAGACACCGACCCACCAGAGTTGCAGTGTGGCCATTCCGGCCATCAGGCACCTCACCTGCACACAACACAACACGCGACGCTCAACGGTCGTGTGAGCACTGGACGGATGGGACTCTGGTGTGCCTTTCTCTCACCGAATATGACGGGCTTGGTCCACTCGTACGTGTCGAGGTCGAGTGCCCAGAGGTCGCTGTGGTTGCGCTTGCCGTCATAACCCCCGAAGATGTACAGACGCTTGCCTGAGTCAAGAAAGCGGTCACTCAGTAAGTGATTCCCCTGTGTGTGTGTGGTTGTCTCTTTGCCTACCGTCGAGAGTTGCCGTGTGGTTCTTGACCGAGGCCATCTGTTCCGTCACCTTGGTGGTCGACCACTTCATCTTGGGAAGCGGAGGCGCGCTGCCGTTACCACACGACACAACCTACGCAGCAAACACACACACACACACACACGCCAAGCACACAACAAGGTGTCAGCTTGACGTGTCTCTCCCTGCCTCCCTCCCTCCCCTCTGCAGCGGCGCCCCTAGTGTGTGCGTTGCTCACCTGTCCTGCGGCAGCCGACTGCGAGGCCGATGCGTCCTGGAAGTTTGAGAGCGTCCCTCCGTCGTCAGCAGACGAGCTCGACGCCATCGCTCAATCAACCAAAGCTCCAAACACTTTCAAACCACAGATTTCAGACACAGGCACCTGTGCGGGTGCTCGCAGCACTGACTGTTGCTTCGCCTTTGCCCTCCTGCTTTCGGGAGTGCGCGAAACATTTGAAGCTAAGCTTGCAGAGGGAGCGTCTCCTCTAAGCAAAAGCGAACCCCTGTGTGTCACACGCTGTTCGTGAGGTAAGAAACCACCACCTCGCTGTATGTGCCCTCTCTGGAATGGCGCGTTTTGTCTCGTGCGGTGCACTGAGCAGGCAATGCCGAAGCGAAAGGACGCCCCTGCTGGCCCACTGCGTCGCTCCAAGCGACTCAAGGTCCCGGTCGACCTCGTCGGTTCCCTCGTCAAAGGCCCGCTGCTGGACGTCATCCTCTTCAGTGGCGCCACGGGCATCGCGTCTCTGAGCGCTGTGTCCAAGGAGATCGGCGAGGAGGCCGAAGGTCATGTGAAAGCCCTCATCGACAAGGTGATCAAGGAGAGAGGCCTCGGGCAGTGCATTGCCTGGGAGGAGCAGCCGGCGACGCTGAAGCGGCACATGAAGAAGGGCACCTACATGATTCGGCTGCTGCACTGCCTGGAGAACCTGGGAGACAGCCCCCGGATCCCCATAATGCTCCGGCTCGCCCACCGCCAGGGCCTGCTGCCGGCGCTGCCAGTGACGCTCAACCACCTGGATGTCAAGAAGGTCCCGTCGAGAAAGGACTTCGACGACCAGCCAGAGTCAGTGAGGGTGATGATGCTGCTCGGGCATCGGCTCAAGGGCAGACACGGGAGCCTGGCCGTCCGCTGTGTGAACGGTGGTGTGATGGGCACGACCTTCTACACGCCCGAGACGGTGCCCGCCGCATATGCCAATTTGTTCAATGCCAAGGACCCCGTGTGCAGGGGTGAGTGAGATGAGGTGTGGTGTGGGCGGATGGGGAGGGAAGTAAGTGGATGTCTTTCTTTGTCCTTTGTGTGTGTGTTCAGCGGCTGACATCACCTTCTCTTCTTACACCGACGCCACGCTGCACAGGTGGGCAAACGGAGAACAGCTGATGGATGTAATCCAACAGCCCTTCTGTCTGTCTGTCTGTCTGTCTGTCGTTGGCAGCATCCTCGAGTGCGACCCTGCCCAGCTGTGGGGTGTTCGCACGGCGGCCAAATTTTTCATTCGCAGGCGAGACAACCCCAACCTCTACGACGTCGCGGCCACCCTCATCAACACGCCGGCACCCGCATTCGGCTGCACAACCATCGACGCCGTGTGCGGCGCCGAGACCCGCCGACTGATCATCCTGAGAGGCCTCAACGACGGCGACAACTTCTCGGCGTTTGTGCGCGTGCGCAAGTGGGACAGCCTGATATCGGTGACGGTGCGCACGACCGAGGCGGGGGCTGCGGCGGCGGGAGGGTGGCAGGCGACCAAGGCTGCCGCCATCCAGGTGATGGGCAACGTCGCGCAGCAGCTGCTCTACCCTGCATGAGCATGAGAGAGGGAGGACTGGGGTGGTGGGGTCTGTTGTTCGAGAGGAATTGTCTGTGTTGCGTGAGTGTCGTTCGTTGTTGTGTGATGTTTGGCTGAGAGAGCATGACGGAACTCGCCATGGGTGCCGGCTAGGCACAGGGAGAGAGACAGAGAGGGGGAGAGGTAGGCATCTTATAGTGAGTGCCAAGCAAGTGGGTAAGTCGGAGTTGCCACGGCGGTCTCTTTCACCCGTCGCCTCCAGCGGCGACACAGACGTGATGATACGCACCCGGTATCCATCACGTCTATTTCGTCGACACCGGTGACCCTTGGAAAAGACCCCGTGTGTGACCGACGGATGCAAGAAAGTTGGTCGACGACCTGTATGTGTATCCAGTAACGATTCGATCTGTCGGTGTTTGTCTGACCTACCTGCATAACAAGGCGCTGGCAATTTGTCGCCAGCGGCAGCCAATGGTGCTTGCACAAGTGTGGACGCAATGGTTGTCGAACGGAGACTTCTCTGAGAGTGTGTGTCGAGGAACTTTCGGCATTCACAGCATTGTCCAATATATGTTGAAGAAAGGATTCGGAGAGTCTTCGGTGAGTCTTCCCCCCATCCCCTCCCTCTCCCCTTGCCACCACATCCACTCACCCACAGGCAGGCAGGCAGGCTGGCTTGTTATGTGTGTCTAGGTAGGTAGGTAGGTATAGGCAGGCAGGCAGTCAGTAGGTAGGTAGGTAGTCGGCTGTTATGGTACACAAACAGTATGTATGCATCTCAGGCAGTCAGTGAGTGAGTCAGACAGTCAGTCAGTGGTATTAAACTCCTCTTCTTTCGTCTCGGGACCCATAGATACGATAGATAGAGATGGCGGGCGGCGCTGGCTGGCTGGGCACACGACACGACAACTCTCCTGATTTGATGGGATTGACTCGGGGGGTGTGAAGGGGTGGTACGTATCGGATCTATCTGACTACAGAGAAAGAGGGCGGCCGCCCCGCCACGCCTCCACCACACCATTGCCGCCTTGTCTGCCTGCCTGTCTGCCTGCCTGCCTTGTGCTTACGCAAACAAACAACCCACTCACTCACACACAAACACGCGATTCATACACACGATGCAAGTATGTTTGTATGTATTAGCCAGCCAGCCAGCCAGCCAGAGAGACGGAAGGAAAAACACCCAGCTGCTCATCCATCCAACCACTCATCCACTCACCACTGCATGCGATCCACCTCTCTCCTCCACTCAACCACTCACTCAGTCAGTCTACGCACCACCGAACCAAACCAAAAACAAAATACCGCCGGCGTCTTTCTTTCTCCACCATCCATCTATCCACTCGTCCGTCCATCCATCCAGCGCTTTTCACTCGCCGTCCTGCGCCTGTGAGGGTCTGCCCTGGGCCGTCTGCGGCACAAACGGCTGTGGCGGCACCATGTAGTAGGTCGGCCAGAGGTGAGGGTGCGGCGGGAACGGCGCACGGGGGTCGAACCCCATGGCGGGGGCCACGGGACGGGCTGGCGGCTGCTGGCGGGCGGCCGCCGGCTGCCGCGGGGGAGGCTGCACCGACGCCGCGATCAGACCCACCGGCTGGGGAAAGGTCATGAAGTGGGTGAAGTGCTGCGGGGCTATCGCAGGGACGGGTTGACCTGACGCAGACGACGCAAACTCACCACCTCCTGACCCAACCTGAAACAAAGAAAGAAAGGGACAGCCGACAGGACAGACACACAAGGAGGGAGGGAGGATATGTATATGGCCAGCCAGCCCATTATCGCATTGATATGTCTCTGTCTGTCAGAGTGCCGGGGAGGTTATAGATAGGCACCTGTGTGGACTTTCCGGCAGGGGAATCGCCCTTGGCAGCCGACGCAGCAGCGACAGCGGCAGCAAGAGGCCGCGTACCCACCGCCCCTCCTCGCCCCTTGCCACCTCGTCCAGCCGGCGCACGAAGACCTCCGTCGGCCATGAAGTGCAGCGGTGCTGCGAGTGGGTGCTGGGGCGCTGTGGTGGGCGGCTGGTAGGGCTGCGACCGCTTGGCCTTGCTCTTGGGCGACCCTCGAGTGGCCGCATAGGTGGGAGGGTGGCTCACTTGACTCACCTGAGCCCCCATCTGCAGAGACGACGCCTGGGCAGCAGCCGATGACGTCTGCACGCCAGCCAGGGCCGGAGCCGGGCCGCGCAGAGGCACCTGGGGGGCCGCCACTGTGGCAACAGGCGCAGGAGGACGCGAGTACACAGCCTGTGCGGGTGAAGCCACGCCGTTAACCAAACCGAGACTCAGGCTGCTCGCGGGGCCCGACATGGCGATGGACGGCTGCAGCTGCTGGGCGGGGGGAGTCGACCCAGAGATGGCAGAACTGTTGACGGCACGTGAGGCAGCGGGGCGGCTGGCAGGGGCAGCCACGGTCGCCACAGTGGCAGCGAAAGTCGCCGACGTGATCTGTGGCTGCGACAGCGCAACAACGAGCGGCTGTGAGGGCGCGACGATGTCAGCAATGGGCTGGAGAGAAGACGGTAGGGGGCCCTGAAGGAGTGCCGGTGCAGGAGGTGGCAGTACGGGAGCAGGTGCGGGAGGGGCCGGCTTGTCCTCCTTCTCGATGGTGGGTGGCAGCGAGTCCGACACGGGCGGAGTGGGGGGCGACTCCGGTGCCTTGGGGAGCATCTCGGGACACAACTCTGCAACAATCTCGTCTGTCATAAGATGAGATCAACACAGAGAGACGAAAGGGCGAGACGAATGATGCATGGCATGAGGTACTCCTCCTCCTTGTGGCGTCTGGCTGCAGCTGCACTACCTACCGAGTTCTGGTCGTCTGTCTTCCTTGAGGTCGTCCCGGTGCTCGGCGAGCCACCTGGAGAGGTAGGTGCGGGCCTTCTTGCTGATGTTGCGCCTCTTGGCAGTGATGTAGTCAAGCACCAGATTGAGACACCCCGCTGTGCCGTGCTCCTTGTTGGGCAGCATGTTGGCCAACGGCTGGGGCGGGCCGGTCTGCTTGGCGGGATAACCCTGACAGACAGACAGACAGTCACACACAGACAGACACCCACACACGTAAGTAACATCCACGCCTGCCTGCCTCTGTGTTGGATGCACGCACGCACCTTCCACTTGCACACGAGCTGGATGACTTCCTCTCCGTTGACCGTGGCTGGCTTGTGGTTGAGAATCTTCTCAATGTCGAGGAACTCGCCAAGTGGCGCAGTCACTGCCGCTGCTGCAGCACCTGCACACCACACACAGACACACACAGACACATACAGAGGATGAGTGCGCACCGGGCTGCATCCATCCATCGATCTCCCTGACTAACCCTTCTTCTTGGTTGTCTTGGTGGTGGCCTTGCGCGTCGTCTTCTTCTTGTGGCCTCCATTGCCGCCCTTCTTCTTTTTGTTGCCCACCGGCGCGTCAGACAACACACCCGCATCGCCACCATACGCCGCCGATGCATGGGCCGACGTCGCAGACTTACGGTTGCGGGCAGCCTGACAGACAGAGAGAGATGAAGTAGCGCAGACAGACAGACAAGACAGACAGACCGACAGACAGGTCCATCCATGTGTCTGTCGACCCTGTCTGTCGTGAGACTACGGGTGTAGTGTACTTTGGTGGGTCTGGCGTCGGTGTCGCTGAGCCCATCGGCAGGGTTGGTGCGCGAGTGCTCGGCGCAGAGGAACTCCTTGGTGCGGATGCGCCCGGCGCCGCGAAAGGCTGTGGATGAGATCGTCTCCAAACCATGCTGCACACACACAAGTTGGGAGGGCACACACGCGTGTGGCTTGTCTGTCTGTGTGATGGTTTGATTGCTGGCTGGTGGGTGTGTCGGCCACTGACCAGTCGTGCGCACGTGACGTGGAATCGTGTCTTGCATCCTTCTCCGGCGCACTCGGCGGTGAAGCCGTTGTTGCTGTTGCAGAAGATGCACCCGTCGCCCTCCATGGGGAACTCGGCCGACTCCGCCGTGGCGGGGATCACCAAACGACCATTCTGCACTCACAGACAGACAGGAGGCACACAAACACACACAGCGCGGCACGCCGTGAGATAGATCAACACGCTGGTCTGTCTGGTCACACGTGTGTGTGTTTCATTCTCACCGTGCCCTGCTCCAACTCAAGACCGCTCTCCGTATACAACACACCTGAACCGTCAACAACAGCAGTTTGCAAATGGACGGTGAGTGATGGGCGCAGGCAGCCCATCCCTTCCCCCGGTGTGTGCAGGTCTGTGCAGGTCCCCCACTGCAGGGCAGGGCTTACATGAAACATGAGCCCAATCAGGGTCCCTTGTGGCCTTGAGCGCCCCGCCCTTGTGGCCACACAAGCAACACTTCGGCCCCCCGTCCCCGTCGGCGGCGATGGCGGCCCGCAGCTGTTCGGCGGCCGCATCGCTCATGTCACCCCCCAGACATGCGATCGATCCCCCAGGGATGCCCGGCGGACTGTCGCCCAAAGCGCAGGGGTCGCACAGCCAGGGCACGTGCGCCTGAGACGATGACGTGCCCAACGAATTGTCCCTCGGGACGCCGTAGCACGATGTGTGCACCGTCACGCCACACCTAAAGGGATGGGTCAACCATGGAATGGAGGGATGGATCAGACACGCGCCATGCGCAAATGAACGTCTCCCTCTCCCTCTCTCTCTCTCTCTCTGGCCTTGGTTCCTTACTTGTAGCACGTGACCCCTGACTTGACGTCGACCCTCTCGGCGCACACCGCACAGCAGCCCGCCGGCACCCCAGTCAACGGGTCGACCCCCTCCTTCTTGCTCTTGGTTTCCGCAGCAGCGCGGTCCCGCTTCCTTGGTTGAGCGACAGGTGGCACAGGGGGCGGGGCCATCGAGACGTCCACCACTGGCTCTGACGGCCGCCGGCTGCGTGTCGACAGCGCGGGGCCCAACGAGTAGCCGTTCATGAGAGATGGAGCAGGTGACGCTGGGAGAGGGGCGGCAGCGGCCGCAGCAGCTGCTGCTGCAGCAGCCACGGCCTGGCTGGCGCGCTGTCTGGCGGCGGCCTGTCGGGCGGATGGTGTGGGGGACTTGGGGGCCTTTTGCCGCGACTTCTTGACGGTGCTGGCTCCGGTGGGCCGGCCTCTCCGCCGTGGCGACTGCGACTCCTCGGCAATATCGGCGGCCGCCAGTTTTGCCACGGCCGCAGCAGCCACCGCAGCAGATCGGGCGCGTCGCTGGGGAGATGGCGTGGGCAGGACGTCCTGCAGGAGCATGTCGAAATCGCCGCTGCCCTCGTCTCCCTTGCGCGTGAAGCGTCCGTCAGATCCCCTGGGAGGGTCCCGCAGCTTGCCGCCGGCGAATCTGGGTGACTTGGCCACAGCCGCCTTGCGGCGGGTGGGCCGCGATCGGCCGCCGGGAGGGACATAATCGAGCTCGGCCATGGCCATGTGCTCTCCGCTGAAGTCGACAGTCGACTCACGCTTGCGCAGGTTCATGCGATGGGTCCTGCCGCTGCTGCCGTCAGAACGAGGCGTCTGCAGGAAGGAAGGAAAGATGCACACACAGTGGATGCAGCGAGGATGGATGGGTGGTATCTGTCGTGTGTGGAGGGTAGGGTGAGGCCTCAGGTGACTGATCGATCTGTCTGACTGACCTCTCCAGTGATGCCGTCCCCCCTGCCCTGGATAGACATCTCCGACTCGGCGCGGTTGAAGTCGAGGGTGGATCCGAGCGCCTTGATGACCTTCTGTTTCTTGAGCTGACGTCGCTTGTTCTCGTGATGCGCCCAGTAGGCACGATACAGAGGCCGCCCACGGCCGCGGAAACGAGTCGCCCAGTACTGAACAGATAGATAGATGCACGACACGACACACACGACAGCAGGATGAGCGCTCCACGTTTGTGTCTGCGTGTGTGTGTGGGTGTGCTGCCTCTTTCCCTCCCGCCCTCTTCCTCTCGCCCAGCCCACCTTATAGACGATAGATGCTGCTTCTTTCGAAAGGCTGAGTGGGTAGTTCTGGGGCATGGGGGGGTAGTCGTCGGCATTCAGGGGGTCAGTCACGGTGTACTTGGCGGCCTGGGCAGCAGACGTACTGCCTGACTCGGGCGGCACACCGTCGGCCGTGTCCGTCGTCAAGCCCAACTCCTTGGCCGCAGGTCCAGTGAGCACAGCCATGCCTGAACAGAACCGCAACATACACACAGACATCTCGGTCGGCAAGGTAAGGTGTCAGGGTACAGTGGGAGTGTGTGTTGGTATAGGATGCGTCAGGTGTGTGCGGTTTGTACCGAATTCACACTTCTCGATAGACGCAGCTGGTGTGGGTTTGCCACTGTAGAAGAAGGCACGCTCAAGCAACTCTATCGCAGCACCAAAGTCAGCCTGACCACAACACAACAATCGGTGACCGATAGTCAGGTGCAGTGCATCAATCCACCCATCCCTCCCTCCCTCCCTGTGTGTCCAGTCCACCCTGCTCCGCTCACCTCCGTGGGCTTGGAAGGTGTGTCCTCGTCAGGCACCTCGTCCAGGATGGCATGCACCTTGTCAAACCAGGGCGCCCCCCAGCCGGCCCTCTTGTCGTCCTCCAGGTCGCCCCTCATGGACATGGGCGACAGAGGGCTGTTGGTCGGCACCGCTGACGACTTCTCCAGCTGCAGCATGGGTGGCACGAACGAGGGCGGCTGCATCATGCCATCAGAGGGGCCGGGGAGGGGGAGGGGGTGGAAGGGGGGCGAGGGGATGGTGGAGTTGCCGTTCGCGGCAAGGTCACCGCCCAGCTCGCTGGGCGGTGAAGTGATGGCCGGGCCGCCGTTGAGCGTCCCAGAGGGGTGGAGGGAGGGGGGAGGGGCGTCCAGATCCATGGGACCACTGGCACCGCTCTTCTTGTCTTCCTCTGGAGGGTCGTCGGACTCTCTGTCGGACTTCTTGGGCGGCGGGAGCATGAAGCCGTGCTGGGCGGCATGGAGAGAGGACTCCGTGGCCTTGGTGTCCTCCTCCTTGGCCGAGTGCGACGGCTCCGACTTGACGAGTGCGTCCGGGGGAGGCGGGGGGAGCAGGGGACGCACTTTGTTGTCGAGCTTCTCCTGCCAGAGGTCCAGAAAGTGGACGTCCTCCACCGAGAGGTCATAGAAGACGCTGCGCTTCGGGGGAAGTGACTGGCATATCGCGTGACGACTGCACACACAAGGACACACACAACCAGACATGTGCACATGCACCCTGCTCGAAACTCGGCACTCGGGGAGGGTGAGAGAAGCCCTTGCTGACTGACTGTCCGAGTGCATGCAGGCCAAGTTCGCCGTGTCAATCCCATGTCTCCCTGCCCCAAGCTCACTTTCCGACACAGAAGAACTGGATCCTCTCAGCCGGCCGGTCCCACTTGTCATAGAAAAGTGGGTCGTCAGTCAACTCGACGTGTACAGGTACAGGAATGTTGGTCTTCTTTCGGGTCGCACATGACAGGGCGTCCTTGGACGAGGTGGCGTGCCTGCCCTCAAAGAGCCGAGAAACATCTATCTCGCTCCGAATCACAGGAAGCTCCAAATTCTGAGACCGGTAGGAAAGCCAATCACGCGACACAACGGACTCGACCATTCGTAGGATTTCCTACCTTATTGAACGTTCTCCGGTTCTTGGAGGTCGTAGACGCCATCAGGGACGAAGGAGACTACCGGGACGAGCCGAGAAGGGCGAGAAAAGGCGTGGGACTTCAGCTCGCACTCCCGCACTATTTGGCATCCTTCGGGAGCTCGTGCTCTCCTCTCTCCATATATCGGTTCTGTTGGAGCTCACCCAACCTGTCTCAGACACATTTCGGAGCTCACACTTCGGGGTGCTGTTTCCCTGCCAATCAGATTTGAACCCTAATTTTGGAGTTAGAGCTGCCTGCGAAAAATCTTTCCGTTTCACGGTGTTACCAAATCAAACGGTTCCATTGAACGCTTTTCCATCAGAGGAGGGAACGGATGCGTCAGATTCGGTTGGTGCCTTCGGGCATCCAGTTGTGGAATCCGGCCGTGCTGGCCGTCAGCCCAGATGGTGCTCACTTCGCCTACGCCTCCACGCTGGCGCTGTTCATCTATCGGAGGGCGGACTTCTGCCTCCACAAGATGATTGCAGGCCATGAGAAAACCATCACGGCCCTCTCCTGGTACGACCATGCACACGTCTGATGCCTTTGGTGTTTTGTAGACAGGAGACGCCCCGTGAATGCAATGCATCCATCTGGACAGGGAGGGAAGAGATCCAGTCCATGCCTGTATCCGTCCTGTGCAGGTGTCCTCAAGACAGCGATTTTATCGCCTCGTGCTTCACCGATGGCCGCATCGCCGTCTGGCACCTGCCGTCAGAGAAGCTCCGCGTCTCCCGCAGCGCCCCAAGCGGCAGCCCTCCCCTTCTTCTCGAGTGGTGTCCTCACACCCTCACACGCGTCGCTGTCGGGCTCGAAAACGGCGAGGTCCGGCTGTGGGATTTCTCCCTCACGACTCCCTCCGGCTCGTTTGATGCAAGTTCTGGCTCGGCGCAGTCACTGGGGTCGCCAACAGCCAAGGAAGCGACCTTCTCCAAGCTGTATGCTGCTGCGGGGGGCTCGCTTCGAGTCATGAGATGGCACCCGACCACCCCTGAAAGACTGCTCCTGGGCTTCACGGACGGCAGTGTGGTGTGTCTCCATCCAAGCACCGGGAGGAGGATGTCGATTCCCTACAAAGGCCGCAACTCGCCTGCAGTGGGGAAGCCGGTGGCGTCTGATGCTCATAGCGTGGAGGAGATCCAGTGGGACCCGCTGTCAGCCGATTACTTCCTGGTGTCTTACCGCGACGGCCATTTGTCTCTGATGGACCTTGAATCGCAGACCGAGGTGTCGTCGGTGCCCTTCGACAGGCAGCCCGTCGGCGTCCACTCAATCGCATGGGTCAAAGGCCAGCCGGGCAACTTCCTCACCGTCACGGAGAAGACGGGCCTTATCAGGCTGTGGAACGCCTCACAGCGTGCTCCACTAGAGCAGCTGCGTGTCGCTCCTGCGGGGATTGCCAAAATTGTTCCCTTCTGCGGCAGGGAGGGAGGGGGTTGGGGATCGTCTTTTCTATTGAGCTTCAAGAACGGCAGCGTGGGCGTGTATAACTTGACTAGGAAGAAATTGGACTTCCTGAGCGAGCCGGGCCACTCGGAGACGATATTTGACGTGCGGTTCAAACCGGGGCAGCACGATCTGCTTGCTACGGCTTCTTATGACGGGTGGGTGGGAGGTTGGGCTAACAAAAGGGAAAGGGCCTGGCCTGTGCGTGCCTGCCATTTTTCATGGATCTATCCGTGTGTCTCGCCCGGCCCGACAGGTATGTGAAGGTGTGGCGTGTCTCTACCAGCAAGACCGAGCTTGAGATTCATGCTGGCGAGCACGAGTTGCTGTACGGTGTGGCGTGGGCGCCTCTCTCCGCCTTCCCCGGGCCCTCGTCGGCTGGTCGGGCCACACGCAGCGGTTCCAAAGACAGAGATGTGGAGCAGCAGCAGACGGATCGAATCGCCGCCGTCTCGTCGTCAGGACACCTCTTTATCTGGAATGCACGCACCGGTCGGTGAGGGAAAGGACACACACATGATCTTCTACAAAATGAAATAAATGCTGTCTCTCGATGCTAACTAAGTTCAGGTGTGAGGGTGCACAAGGTGCCTGTGCACACGTCAGCGGTCTACCGCCTTGATTGGTCATCCACCGACCCCAACCTCATCGCCACAGGCTCGGGGGACGGCTCAGCCTGCATCGTTGACGCCGCGGCAGGGTGTGTCATCAAGCGGTACTCGCACCCCGCCCCCGTGTACGGGGTGCAGTGGCATCCGTCGACACGCAGCCTCCTCTGCACAGCCTGTGCGGACGCCAATGTGCGGCTGTTCGTCCACGGAGGGGGCGAGGGGTGTGACGTTATCACCAACAACTCAGACAGAAGGGGCAGCACCGGCTCTTTGTCGTCTCCTCACAGTGGGATGCAGCCCACCAAGGCGATCGTGCTGTCTGGTAAGACCGGCACAACACACAAATGGGTGGATTTAGTAGTGGAGAGGCCGAGACGCGATCAGCTGTTTGTGCGTAGGACACAGCGAGAAGGCCTTCAACGTGGCCTTCAGTCCGATTCTGTCCAACATCCTGGCGAGTGGTTCGGACGACCGGACCATCCGTATATGGGACATCCAAAAGAGGGTAAGCAGGCACAGGAAGTGCGGGGGCATATATGTGATGTGATAGATACCTATTGATTGCATCATGACTCTGTTTGTTTGTGGATGTCCGCAGAAGTGTCTGCGGACACTGATGGGCCACAGGTCGAATGTTCGTGCCCTTGCCTGGCATTTGGAGCTGCCGCACATCCTCATCTCTGGCGCGTGGGACGCCACGATCAGAGTCTGGAACGCCGCAGCCGGACGGGTACGTACGTATCCGACGGACGATGGATGCACGGAAGCTCAGAAATGCCTGTGTCTCTCTCTCTGACTGCTGTCGGTCTGTCCCAGGCGCTGTATGTGTGCAGCGAGCACCACGCCGACGTCTACGGCCTGACCACCCACCCAGCCTGCCCCTTCCTCTTTGTCTCCACATCACGAGACACCTCACTGAGGTTCTGGACTCTTGACGACCTCTCCGCCCCGTTCCAGCTGGCATTGGCCGCCAGCCCAACAGCCGCCACACTGACCTCACTACGCGCCTCCCCGAACCAGGCCGCTGAGCTGTTCGTCGACACAATGGAGCGGCCATTGCCTTTGGAGATCAAGCCGAGGCTGTATGGCGCCGGGTCGGCAGAGCTGCAGAAGACGCTCGGTGGTAATCTGACCCATCTGGAGAGGCTGAAGAGGGTGGTTGAGTTCCTGCATTACCGCCCCGGCAGCCTGGACTTCTGGGACTGCTTGGCCAACTGGTCCGGCGAGGCGCCGGACATCGCTGCGCACACGCCGACCGTAATCCACATGAACGACATCATCGCCGCCGAACGAAGTGCCGCCCAGGAAATGGTAAGCAAATGGCCCTTTCCCCTTGTCGCGCCAGCCAGGCCTTCTCTGCCGTCTTTGTGTCCCTCAGGCGTCGAGCAAGATCAGCAGCAGTGCCGTGGGCAAGAAAGAGGAGCGATACGCCAAAGCAGCCCAGAAACTCATTCGTGTGGGCGACCTCCGTGGCTACTGCGACTACATGGCCCAGGCCGGCCACACCGAGAAGGCCCTTGCCGTCGCCCCTGCAGTGGCTGTGGTCGAGTCCGGCGACAGCGGGGGAGGAACCGACATGGGGTATTGGCGAGACATGAGTGTGGAGTATGCGCGCCAGCTGCAGCGGGATGGCAAGGACGAGGAGGAGGCAGTTCCCCACCTCTTGGCCGCGGGGATGTCCGATGAGGTCATCGACATCTACCTCAGGCGCTGCGAGTTGGAGTCGGCCTTTGCTGTCGCCAAAGCGCAGAGGGACGGCAGGTTCCCAAAGAGAAGACGCCCACCCAACTCGTCCCCGTCAGATGCGCCGCCCAGCCAGGCGGACAGGCTGCCCCAGATCACCACGCGGATGGCGAGGTACTACCTGAGACGGGGTGAGCCTGTGTTGGCCGCGTGCTGCCACATGGCCATCAACAGAGCAGACGAGGCCATCACAGTCCTGACAAGGGTGAGCCACTTGCTAGAGAGGCAAATGTCGTTGTATGTTGGTCTTCTCCTGTAGAGCAACGAGTTGATCTTGGGGTATGCGATGTATCGCGTATTGTTTGTCGAGTCGAGTGAATTGGGCCCCCCGCCACCGAACGTCTCGGACCTCCTGCGCTTGCTCGCAGCAAAGGCAGAGAGACACAGATGCTGGGTGGGCTGGGCTGGTGGTGGGTGGGTGGGGCAGACGAGGCACACTGTGCGGTCGCCGGGATGTGTGTGTATCCGTTGGCATGCCTTGTGTGTATGCAGAGCATCGCACGGGAGTTGTATCAGCAGCTGGAAGAGACAAGGAGGGTCAGGCAGCTGCAGCTGCTCTCTGTCAGGTGGGTAGGGTACCGATGAGTGCATCATCAACGAATTCATGTTGGCACACCCAGGGGGATCGCTGTGATGGGTGCAGGTGCGGGTCGATTCAGCGGGAACAGCTCTTCATCGAGATGCCAGACGTCGCCATATCAGTCCCAGAAGCAGAAGCAAGGGCGGAAAAGGTCCATGAGCAATAGGATCCCTCCGCCACAACACTTGCCAGCTGTGTGTGCGTGTGCGTGTGCAGGCTGAGGCTGAGGGCAACCATGTTGACAGTGCCCATTACTTTGCGGTGGCGGGGGAGTACCAAAGGGCGGCAGAGGTGGCCGTGCAGCAGCTTCAGAGGCACATCTCCCAGAGCGTCGAAATCAGCGTCCATCAGTGCCGGCCCTTCCTGGAGATCCTCGAGAGCCTCCCCATCGACGCACTGGAACTGAAGCTCGTCTCGCGAGTGCTCTGCTGTGCGGCGTATGTGGGGTTCTTTGACGCCCTTGAGCAAAAGGGGGGAATGCTCTCGATGGCTGTGCCCCTGCTGACCACCTACTGGAACGTGGCGCAGCACCAGCACCTTGAGCAGGACTTCTACGCCGACACGGGGAGCACGGCGACCGCCAAGGCGCAGCTGCAGCTCAAGGCCGCTCTGCAACTCATCCAGACACACCCTGACAAGTAAGCGACAGACAGAGACACAGACAGAGACACTGCTGATGAAAGGAGGTGCAGAAAAGGTCAGCCTGAATGTCGGCTTCTTGCCTTTGTGTCCACAGGGCGCTTGAAATGCTGACGCGGGTGAAGAGTGACGGCCACGTTAGCCCCGAGCAGGGCAAGGTCGTTGACGACGCAATCGCATCGCTTGCCAGGAGTGAGTGAGACACATGATGGAAACCTCCTTACCTCAGACACAACACGACGTGTCCGTGCTGTGGTCTCAGGCCGCATCGATGACGCCGACATCGGTGCTGACGATGACAGCAAGAGACCGGTGGGCGGCCTGGACCCCATTCGCCCTCTCACCGTTTGTGTCTCATCCACCGACCCCTTGATCTGGCAGGTGTGTGTGCCCATTGCTGGGTCCCTGCTGCCGACAGGCCGCACCAGCGGGATGAAGACGTCTGTGCTGACGGGGCAGCCCATCAAGGGTGCAGCCTTTGTGCTGGAGGACGAGAGCACATGCGTTGGTCTGCAGGAGGCTATCCAATGGTGAGAGGGGAGAGTGAGCGAGGCCATATGGGTCCGTTCGTGTGTGGGTGTGGGGTGTATGATGTGTCGGTCTGTGTGTGCAGGGCGTCGCTGAATCGGTTCTCGCCCCTCAACACGGGCAGCAGGATCAACCCATTCTGACCATTCGTTCTGACCATTCGGCCTTTCTGCTTTCAGACATGCCCTCGTTTTGCTGCTGACCCTGTGTGTGTGTGTGTGTGTGGATCAATCCAGTGGCGCATATATATGTCTGTCTCTATGGATGAGAGTGTCCGATCGTCAGCAACCAAACGTGCACAGGGCAACGACGCCTCCCCCCGTGGGTCGTGTGTCTGCGCGTGAGTGAGCGATCTTGCATCGGCCCGACCCACATCCGTGGATGGGGCCGCCGTGCCAATGCGAAACCTCTCACGGACGCGACACGCCACACGAACCAGCCAGGAGGCAGTGACTGAGTAAAGCCATCCGTCCAGCCAGCCAGACACAGGCATCTTTGTACAGACGGTACACACGAGCAGCACCCAATCGTCAGCGACATAGAGAGGAGAGGTCTGCCTGGCCGGCGCGTGTGTGCATATGGCCCCTGCGCCGCGACTGGCCCCGTCATCCAGCCGACCAAAGCACGGGCGTGTGCCTCGTCAGACGGATACCGCTTCCAGACGGGACGACAGAGGTCACCATGCACCCACGCACAGGGGTCATCCGCTCTCGATATCCGTCCAAACAAACATTCAGGCCCAACACGAGCAAGCATGACAGTCGTCAGCAGGAAGAGCAAGCCACAAACCAGCAGACGGATGGCATGTACGTGTGAATGGATGGCAAAAAAGCGGGCGGACACTGCAGACAGACAGCTTGGGAGGAGCAACCAGTTAGGGAGGACAGGTCCGACAGACAGACAGACAGACAGACAGACAGAGAGACAGACAGCAGGGCGCGGATCGTATTGTGTGTGTCGTCGGACAAACCCTATGGGCTGCCGGACATGGACATGCACATATGGGGGAGAGAGGGAACCTCATCCACCCCACCCATCGATGCATCCATCCATCCACAGAGAGGGTGGACGCCTTTATCTACCGAAGGGGGGCAACAAGAAGCGTGGCCGATCCGATCTATCATCAGCGCTCCTGTCTGTCTGTCTGTCTGTCGTCTCCCTCGAATTCTGTCGATGGATGCATGTGTGTGTGGGGTGCGAGGGTGTCGGTGTGCCGGTGGTAGCTACGCGAGAGGTCGCCCTCTCCCGAGGGCTCGGGGTGAAGGTGGGCTGTGCGTCTGTGTGCATGGTGCGTGTGTGTCATCGATGGATGGATGGATGCAGCCATGCATTCCTAGGCATAAAACCTCCACGCAGGTCGGCAGAAGACCAGCCATGCACCCAGCCCCAACCCACGCAAACAATCAGCAAGCCAGCCATGCACACGGATGCACCCACACAGACAACACACAAAAAAAACAAAAAAACGCAATCCACACATCCAGGCAGACTCACGTGGATGTCCGGATGGGTGTGTGTGTGTGTGCCCGTGTGCGGTGCAATCGGTGGCAGGCTCGATGGCTACAGCTCTCCAACAAAGACATGGACACAGGCACATTGATCCATCCATCTATCCATCAGCAGCACTGAATGAAGCTCACGTCGGCTGCCGTCAACAGCTACGGTCGGTACTGACCCACCCTGCACACACATGACGCGCACATCACACACGATGCGCGTGGCGTGAACAGGGGGGTTTCACTTTTCCCTTCCTCCCTCCTCACCTGCATGTACTATCTGTGTGTGGGTCTGTCTGGTCAGTTGCGTGTGCGGCGCTTCTTGTTCTTGGGCTCGCTGCGATTGGTGTTGTTGGGGCCCTGACCTCCACCTCCACCAACAGCAGCACCCTGACCAGCACCAGTGGCAGCATTGGCAGCCGCCTCATTAGCTACGGCCTGGCGAGTGCGGTAGACACGCTGCTGCGGCGGTGGTGGCGGCGGCTGCTGCTGGGGCTGGTCGCCCTCACCACCAGCACCAGCACCTCCCTGCTCGCCACGGCTACGTCCTCCTCGGCCACGGGGTCTCGGCCCGCGACGCATGACACCACCCCTCGCTGCGGCAGGGGCAGCGTGTTTGGCATTCACATGCCCACCACCACTGCCCGCCTGACCCGCCCCCTCGTTCTGGCCCAGGCCCCCACCGGCCCCGGCACTGCTGTTGTTGTTGACAGTGTTGTTGCCCTCCTCGGGTGAGTCGTTCTTGGGTGGGGTGGGGCCGGCCTTGCCGCCGCGTGAGCGCTCGCGCGCGACGAGGTCGTAGCCATCCGCCAGGGCTGTGGGGATGTCTGAGGGAGGGCGTTTGCGGTAGTCCATGGGCTCGATGGTGCCCACGTGGGTCACCACCGACCCCCAGTGCGACACCGACCGTCGCTGGCGCACCATGCCACGGCCGAAGGCCTCGGCCGCTGATCGCTTGAGCAGCTGCCGCCAGCCGCCCGCCACGAGCTTCATCTGGCCCTTTTGCGGTCGCTCGAAGTCTAGGAAGTTGAGGTGGCCGTCCTGGATGTTGTTGAGGTTGGCTTGCGGGGGATTGGCTCGGTGCATGCGGAACCCCGAACGGGCGAGCGCCCAGGAGAGTTCGCGGAGGTACGAGGTGGGCACGATGCGGCGACGGGCGGAAACGGCGATGTGGATCTCTGATGACACACACAAGACACACACAAGAAACACACGACGCAACACAGCAGATGAGAGGGGCGAAGTGCACGGCTGATGCATGACACGTTCGTTGGCTGACTTACTCTTGAGTTTGGGCAGGAAATTGAGCATGTTCTCGAATGTGGCGGCCGAGCAGTGGTAGGGCCAGAGGACGGGCACGCCCCCAGTGGTCCCCTTGGCCTCCACCTGGAGCTTGATGGTCTCGAGTGGCGGCCGCTGGCGGATGAGCAGCTTGGCGAGCTGCTCGGTGAGCACGTCCACCTCGAGTGAGTCGACGGCCGAGTCGTGCATGGACGGGGAGAGGTAGGTGTAGGCCGTGCTGCTGTTGCGGCTCCGGATGAGGTCGCCCATGGTGGTGTCGGGGGTCGTCTTCTTGCGGGCCTCCCTCTCAGTCTGGCGCTTGACCTGCAGCATCTTCTGCATGCAGTAGCACTGCAGCCGGGGGCTAAGGTTGGCGTACTCGATGCTGTGGATGTGCTTGAGCTGCGATATCAGCGCACCCAGGCCGTCCAGGTCGCCGTCGTTGTTCCAGCTCTCCGCCAAGGCTATGTCCTCATCGTCCTGCGTGTCAGGCGCCCCACCCTCTCCCTCCCCGCCCCCGCCCCCCTCACCACAACCACCATCACCGCCCGTCTGCGTCTCCTTGGAGCCGCTCTTGTCCTTCTTCTTGTCGCCTCCCTCGTCGCCCTCCTTGCTGATGAAGGGTGGGAGGGGTGCGGGCGGCATGGGCTGGTGGTTGGTCTGGATCTCCTGCAGCAGTGCCGTCCGCATGCCGTTGATCCGCAGCCGGCGCACCATCGGCATCGCCGACCTGCCCAGGAACGCCGGGCTCTCGTGGTTCTCGTTGAGCGTCACCGACACGTTGCGCAGCGCGGGGAAGTCGATCTGTCGGTCGAGCGCCGCGAAGGCTGCGTTGAGGTCCGCTGCCGGGTCGTATGTGTTCATCGCCGCCACCTGTGGATTGGCGGCTTGGGGCGGGGGGTCTGGTGAGGGGGAGGTGATGTCGAATCGTCTCAGGTTGGGGGCGATGTGGCGGAGGAACCGGGGGAACGGGTGGGCGGGGCGGAGGGCGAACCAGCCGGTGCGACGCGGACCTGGCGGACAGGACACGACGCCACACGAGGATCAGACGACACAATGGTTCTTTGCACCCGACACACATGTGTCTGTGTTGACTTGCTGTCTGGCTTGTCTTACCAACGGTGAACGACTCGACTTTGAGTGTGCATTTGTTGTTGCTGGCGAGGAAGCCCAGGAGCGGGTCGACGTCGAGGCAGTTCTTCATGGTGAGGTACGGGATGTGGAGTGCGCGAATGGGCGGGCGCTTGGCCACCAGCAGCTCGCTCAGCCGGCGGACGTCGTTGGCCTCCCACAGGAAGCTGCTGAGCACCAACTCGATCAGGCCGTTCAGGTGCGGTAACGCCAACAAACGGTTAGGGATCTGAATCAACGGAGATATCACACACACCACACCACACCACAACACACCAAGTCGGCCAATGCATCCGCCCCTCCGACCAGATCCGTCTGTGTGTGCGTGGGTATGGATAGACGTACCTGTTTGCTATGTCCGGTGAGTTCGATGCGCTTAACCTTCCCCGACTGGCGGAGGAAAGCCAGGTCGGGTGCGGCCTTCTGCGCTTCCACCTGGAAGCCCTTGAGGCTGCTGTGGTAGCGCACCTTGACGTCGTCTACCTCGGGGCACTCCCACAGCCGCGTCACGTTGCTGAAGTCCTCAAACCCCGTCAGATCCACCTTCTTGAGCGCCGTGAACCGGACCTTCACGGCCGCCGGGATCACCTCGTCGGCTTCTACGTCCACGAACTCGGGCTCGTCGGGCTTGTGCTCATTCACACCACCTGCCTGTGCCGCGGCCTGGCCCTGCCCCTGCTGCTGCTGCCCCTGCTGCTGCTGTTGGTGCTGGTGCTGGTGTGGGGGGGCTGGGCCTGCGATGATGAGTCCGGCGGTGATGGCGGCGTCGACCTGATCGGCACCCTGCTGCTGGAGTGCCCGGACGGCTGGTGAGTCCTCCTTGATTGAGTTGATCTTGAGTGTCTGGAGTGCGGTGGCGGCGGTCTCGACGAGGGGCCGCAGCTGGTGGCACTGGGGGTACCAGGGGCGGGGGATGCGCTCGATGGTGATCTCACGACAGGCACGCAGACGGCTGGCCAGCTGCAGGAGCTGGTGGTTGCTCATGCGACCCCACATCGACTCCTCACCTAAATGAGTACACAACACAACCAACAATCACATACAACACAACACAACACATGCACCCACCATTTCCCCCTCCGTGGCTGTGTGTTGTGTAGTGTAAGGTGTGTGGTGCATCTGCTTGCTATGGTTGCTGACCCTTTATGACGAGTTTCTGGACGGTGTATGGGCTGCAGCTATGCTCCCTGAAGCACCGGTTGACCCTCCCCGCCACACCCACCAGCTCCACCGGCAGGTAGTGGAAGAACATGATGAACACGTCCGTCGGCACCAGGTGGAACGCGAAGGACTGCCCTCCGCCAGCACCAACCGCCTCCTTCCCGATCTCCGCCACGGCCGCAAACACGTCATCGTCCTCACCGTCACCCTCCTCCCCCTTGCGGCGCTGTTTGGTTGGCTGCTGATGGGCCTGCCGCTTGTCGTTGCCCCGCCCCTTGCGCTTCGGCTCTGGCAGAGGGGCGGGGGGTGGGATGGGGTCCTCGGATGGCAGACGGCCGCGACGAGGGTTGCGGCGGGGCAACACACGACGAGCTTCAGACATGCTGCAAACACCACCCACAACAGAGCGAGACACAAAATGCGTGCGGGGCGATGTTGTGAGCTGTGTGTTCGGGTTTGGGGTCTTGCAGCCCTCCTCCCCTGCCCGTGTGGCTTGCCTTACATCGATGACCGTCCTCAAGCAGCTACGTGGTGCTCGGGACGCACCAGAGTGTCGAATCTGAAGCAAGGAGGCAGAGATCGGGGGGCGGAATCGCACCACATGACCACCAACAGGCGCACAGGCGCCCTGTAGGCCTGTCTTCCCACGAGCACTCCACACTATACTCGCTGCCATCGCGTGTGTGTCATTCAGGAAGTTGGGGAGCGCACCTGTGTGAAGAAGAGGTAATCAGGGCATCTCACAGACGGCTGGAGGTCCATACATTCATCAAAAACAGCACAAACCACGAAAAACTCGGGCGATCGCACTGGCGCGCATGGCGAGGAAGCCCACCCTGGCAAGGGACGCCGCGAAATCGGGCAAATGGGACGACAAGGCTTTGCAATGAAGAGCCATTCACTTACAGATGACTCAGCACCAATAAAGATATCATATGGACCATTGAGTCATGTCACGCACGACAGCCCTGCACACCCACTGGAGTGTCGACTAGTCTACTAATGACTGGTCTACTAATCATCGTCGTCTTCTTCTTCAGAGTCACCCTCGTCCTCCCCCGGCTCGTAGTCTTCGTCATCCTCGTCGTCATCGTAGTGGCCGCCGAACCCACCCATCCCGCCATAACCGCCATAACCGCCATAACCACCATAACCAGACTGCACACACACACACACACACACCAGAGAGATGCAGGTGTGTGGTGGCGAAGTCTGTGTGTGGATCTCACCTCATCTTCGTCTCCTTCGCCCCCTCCTCCCCGCGAGATGTGCCAGCCGCCCTCCTCGCCTGATGTAGCGTATGTAGGCAACGCAAATACATTCGCACACACATCGGGCGGACCTTTCCTCAGTGGCTCACCTCCGCCAGCCTGCTGCCGTCCGAAGGCGTGCCGCCGCACTGGAGAAACACACACACATTCAGGACGATTGACCGATGGATTGGATGAGTGGTGCCTGCCTTTCTCGCCTTTTGTTCATGTGTGCGTTTTCACCGCTCATGGCGAGGTCCTTGGTTTCCTGCAGCTCATAGCCGCACTTCTTGCAGGGCGGTGCGTCCTTCTTGCTGGCCGCTTTGAAGGTCTTGCCGTGGACGTGCTCGGCACAGTACTGCACCTGCACATGGGAAGGGAAACAACACGGATGCAACGATGGGATGGATGCAGACAACAACGGAGACACTCACTCACCTTGCACCTCAGGCAAGAGTAGATGCCCAATCGATTGCACGACATGCCTGCAGGCAGGCACGGCCAACGGACAGAGACGTGTGAAGGCGCCCTCTTTCCATGGCAGGCTGTTACACATACACTTGAACGTCTCGTTCTCGATGACGGTGCAGGAGGCCTGGTGCTCGAACTGATCATCCTCACACAGCCACCTGAAGCAGCGACGGGGTATCACATCACACAAGAAGCTGATGTGGATGCCCCATTCCTTGACGTGCAACCAAAAGGACATTAAACTTACTGCATGCACGTGGCGCAGCGAAACATCCTCCCACCTGTTCGTTCACAGCGGGAATACGAAGGCAGGGATTGGGGTGGACACGTGCACACAAAGAGTCGGTCCTAATGAGTCCTACCTACCTACCTTGCTCCCATGCGCTCCTGTCGCACTCTATGCACACCACCACGTCCTCACCGTCACGCAACAAACTGCATGGTTGGCCAACACGGACACACACACACACACCAAGAGACCTTTAGGTTTGCCTTCCTCCTTCTCGTCTATCGTTCCGTCTGACCATGAGCATGCGTGGGACTGGAGGCACCGACGAGAGTGGCACACGGCGGCTTCGCTGATGGATGACACGAACACACATAGTACCATGTCCAGCCCACGACTGAGCGGTCGGCGTACCAGAAGTCACATATGGCCCCCTGACAAACAGACAGATCACCCAGTGCCAACACGCAGCCATGATGTATGTGTGGTGCCTGTGTGTATGCATGGGTATGTTCGCATCTGTCTACTGTGGCTACGTACCACGAGGGCCATGCCGGTGGCACTCCGACCAGGATGCTTCACCATGCAATCCTGCCATATAAACAGTCAGACACGCACCACGCACATCCAGATTTGTCATCGAATCGCCCCCTTCCTTGCTTGTCCACTCACGCCCGTTTGGTTGAGGCATTTGGTCCGCCCACACTCGGCGCACATCGGCAGCCGCTGGATGGCGTTGCAGAAGTAGCAGGCGAACCGCGACTTCTGCCGCCTGTGACACTCATCCTGCAGACATCACCCATACACACAGCGAGCGAAGGTAGGTGCCTTGCTGTGTTGCTGGAATGACGAATGAGCGATTGGAGTGGCTTACGCAGGTCATCTCAAAGTTGGCCGGGTTGGTCTTGAAGTCATCTCGAGGCCTCCCGGACTGCAACAAGCACCATGATAATCAATTAATATAGCAAGGCAGATAGATGAGCTCTGTGTTCTCTTTCTGCCGGCTGTAACTATAGCTCCAGCCTGAGTTGCGCTACCTGTATCTCTTTCTGCCTCTGCTTTTGCTTCTCCGCCTTCTTCCGTTGACCCGTCTTCTTCTTCGGCATTGCGATGCGCACAGATCATCACAATCTTGATGCATCTGCCATCATTTGGCCTTGTTAGAAGCGCTCGTCGCCACAACCGCCTTGGTATTGTTCCCACTTCCATCCACTTCTAAGCTCGCCAAATTTGGGTCGATCTCGATCGTTGGAGTGTCAAGCGCCGCTCTCCCGCAGGCTGGGCCTTTCCGATGATTTCAAATAGAAGATCCGAGCGATTGATGGCTGAGAGCGGCAAGTTGGATTGATCTGAAAGACGCAGCAACGATGGTGCTGCACGTCATTGGTTTGGGCCTCGGTGACGAGAAGGACGTGACAATCAAGGGGCTGGAGAAGATCAAAGCCGCCGACTTCGTTTATCTCGAGATCTACACGGCCGTCCTGGGCGTCAAGAAGGAAACGCTGGTCAGTTCATTGGAAAGAGATCGACGAACAGACCAACAGCCACCGTGCAATGACAGGTCTGACGGCACCATGGCCTGTGTGATGTGTCAGGAAGCTTATTATGGCCAGCCCATCATCGAGGCGGACCGCACGTTGGTCGAGTCAGGCTGTGAGGAGATGCTGCAGCGGGCCAAGGAGCACCGTGTGGCGTTCCTCGTCGTCGGAGACCCTTTCTGGTGAGAGAGGAGCAGCCGAGTAGCGCTCTGATTTTGATTGCTGGTGTGTGGTGTGTGGTGTGTGGTGTGTGGTGTGTGGTGTGCAGTGCGACGACACACAGTGACCTGATGCTGCGGGCCAAGGAGATGGATGTCCGTGTGGACGTGGTCCATAATGCCTCGATCATGAATGCTGTGGGCATATGCGGCCTCCAGGTCAGACCCAGTCGATGAGCGGCACACGAATGACGAGCAGCGTTCGGCGCTGTTGCCCCCCTCTCCTCTCCCTCTCCCTCTGTGGCATGGCAGATGTATCGGTTCGGTGAGACTGTGTCGATTCCCTTCTTTGAGGACAGCTGGCGGCCCGAGAGCTTCTATGACAAGATGGTGGCCAACCAGCGGATGGGGCTGCACACCCTGTGCCTCCTCGACATCAAGGTCAAGGAGCAGACACTCCAAAACATGCTCAGGTGCGGGTGGCCGTCACACTCAAACGACTATATCTCGTCACCTCTTCTGTCAGGGGCAATCAGATCTTCGAGGCGCCAAGGTGGGCTGCAAGCAAGCCAGGCAGCCAGGAGGCACATGGGGAAATGTGTGTATGCCCGGCCGTACCTTCCTTGCTCCAGGTTCATGACGGTCAACCAGGCTGTCGATGAGATCCTGGAGGTGCATGAGAAGAGGCAGGAGCTGGCCCAGCCGGTGCGCGGATTTGGGCTTGCGAGGCTCGGCAGTGATTCGCAGATGATTGCTGCCGGTGGGTGCGAGGGAAAGCCATCGGGGCCTGCGCCGTGGAAGGCTGTCTGGTCTTGTGTGTGGTGTGGTGTGGCGTGCAGGCACCTTTGAAGAGCTGCGGACGTTTGATTTTGGAGGACCCCTTCACTCCCTGGTGGGCAGTGGGACATTCATGTGCCTCGTCTTTGTGCATGTGTGTCATTCATATGTGGTGTGTCAGGTGCTGTGCTGTCCTGATACTTCGTTGCATGAGCTTGAGATGCAGTTTTTTGACTTCTTTCGGACGCACCACTCGCTGGCGGGCTGACTGAATCCGTTTCGTGATAAATCGTGCACTCGTGTATTTGGCGCGACACAAGTTCAATGAATCGTCTTCCATCCAACCTTCCATCCATCCATCCATCCATCCATGCATGCATCCATCGCGCAACTCATCCATATGAATGCAGGCAGCGATCCTCAGCCAGACAGCGGTAGTCAAGGTAGTAACTGACTGGATGAGTCATATGAGGAACTGACTGCGGCATATAAAATGTAGACAACGATCTGGAATCCCCGTCTCTTCAACTCCTCCTCTCTATCTCTCTCTCAACAACAGCAGCAGCAGCAGCCTCTTATGCATCCTCCCTCCTCCCTCCCCTCTCTCTCAACTCAATCGCTCCTCAGCCTTCTTGCCCCCCCAACCTCCGAAGATGCGTGTGATGGCCCTGCCAATGCCTTCCGACCGCCCTGATGTCGTCGGCCAGCTGCTCGGCGCCCTCCTTAATGTCGGTGACGAGAGCCCATGAGCGCATCGATCATGAGGTCTTGGTCTGCCGACCGGACCTCCCACATGGCGCGCCCATAGGCATCTACGTCACCCGACGGCTCCCAATACTCCCACTGCCCCGTCCAGTCGTTCTGCCGCCAGTGCGCCACCCGGTGCTGGTTGATGGGACCAGCAGTCGGCACGATCCGGGCATGGCAGGCCTTGTACTCGGGTGCGGGCGGGAGGGGTGGCGGGTATGGGTGGTGGGCGGGGAGTGGGGCAGCGTGCACGGGCAGCGTGGCATGTACGGCGCCATTTGGACGGCTGGGGTGGCAGGGGGGCGCGTTTGGGGGGCGGGGCGTGTGGTGGCCTGGTGGTGGGTGCGTGCAGAGGGCCGGTGGGTGGACCGACGAGCGGCTGCGTGTCGTGGGCCTCGTGGTGGGTGCTGCCGTCACTTGCCAGAGGCTGCTGGGGTGCAGCGGCTCGGGGTTGCTGCTGGCGCTTGCATAGAAGAGACCCACAAATATAAAACGTAAGCAGCGATCTGACACAAACATCATGAGGACAATGTCTCAGAAGCTGCCGCCTTTTTTCTCACTTCAGCGGTTGGAGGCTCCTCCAGCACCTGCAGGGCCTCCAACAGCTCCTCCTCGATGTCCCTGAGGGTGCAGCGGTCGGCCATGTCCGGCTGCATCCCCCTGGCCGTCACCTGGCAGATGGTGTCCAGCCACTTCTTGGCAAAGTGCAGCTCAGATGACTCGAGGGGGAGGGTGTCAAGCGGGCTCTGGATCTGGCCGGGGCAGCAGAGGGGGCGGCCGTCCTCCCGAATCCAGCTCATGCCCGCCGCGACCCGGAGCTCTACCGCCTCGTCATCGCACCAGATGGCCCACCCCCGGGTGACGGCATGAAAGATGCTCGCCACGCCATACACCGCCACCTTCTCGTCCACCCATATCTCCTCTCGGCCGTCGGGGTGCAGCAGCGGCACCCCCTTCTTGTGCAGGCCTCGTCGCACCTCCTGAAGGGCGTCCTTGAAGTCCTTGGGCCAGACCTTTAGGTCAGCGGCCGTGCCGGACTGCAGCACCACGGTCTCGGGCGACAGGAACCATGGCGTCCCGCCGGGCCGCTGACGCTGAGCCGCCTGGGTGTCGGGTCCAGAGGGAGGAGGGCGCTGCGGGTCTTGGGGTCCACCGTGAGCATGTTGCCCAGGTCGATGCACGCCGTTGTCTGCCGGGAAGGGGTGGAGCGGCCCATTGCCGAAGAACATGTGCCGGGGCAGCATGATGTTCCTGTAGAACCCATCCAGGAAAATCCGCCGCGTGACAGGGCTCCCTGGTGGGCCTGCGTGACCAGGAGAATCGCCTTGGTGATGACCCTTAGGTCCCCGCGGAGCCACTTCACCCCCTCCCCGAAGCTGCCGCTGCTGCGGAATCGCTCGGCCACCTTGCACGTTGAACAACTTGGTGTTCGCCTCCCCCTCCCAGCCAAACAGCTTATTCACCTCGACAAAGTTATCAGGGTCTGCAGCCAGTATGGGTACACACACACCCAAAGCACACAGAGCAGAGCACCAACAGAGGACAATGACTGACAAATCCACACTCGTGCACGTGACCCCTTCTCCCTTATATACCCCACCCACTCACTGCCCTGATGTCTCATAACTATACTCTTGACGACTCACTCACCGAGGAAGGGCATCGCTATGCACAGCAGCTCCTTCTTGGTGCCGTCGGTCTTCTGATAGCTGGCTGGGCTGTGGGGTTGGGTGTCGGCCGCGAGGACCCGCAGGAATGGCGGCTGGCCGTCCATGTGCTGCATCTTGCTCTCCTCTATCTGCAGGCCTCGCACCTCATAGTCGTCGAAGGTGTCGTCCTCCTTCGACACGCGCTTGACAGCGGCCGTGACGGGCGCGTCGTTGGCCTGCCGTAGGTCCCGTAGGTCCCCGACGAGGACGGGCTCACCCTTGCCCTTGCCCGCTGTGCGCTCGCCGTTGGTCAACTCTACGCACGGCCCGTCCCGGAAGAGGATGCAGGCTGAGGCTGGCATGGCTGCTGGTGCCCCTCGGCTGCTGCTGCCGTTGCTGCTCATCGTCTGCTGCTGCTGTCTACTGCTTTGTGGCTGCTGAAGGGTGTCTGCTGCTGTGTGTCTGCTGCGGTGCTCAGGGCCGGTGGGTGGACCATTCTCCGAGAAGCTCCCCTTGTGGCCGCTTTCAAATCAGATGGCCGATGATGCTGAGAAGAGAAGAAGGGACCCTCACATAATATAAAATGTAGGCAGCAATCTGAAGGGAAAAGCAGACATCTCCCCCTGGTCCTCGTCTGGCAGCTCCTCCTCGATAGCGGCGGTGGTGGGATGGGGGTGTCGATGCGTCCTGCCTCCTTTTGCAGCGCGGCAGTTGGTGGGAGGGGCGGCGAGGGAGCGGCGCTGCTAATGCGGATGACCGTCACGGGGCTGCTCGCTTGGCTCTCCTTGCCGTCGTCCGCATCCTCATCGCTCTTCTCTTATCAAGCCGCTGTTTTCCTTAGATTGCTGACCTCCATTGCAGTGCGTGGCAATCAACAAGGGATGAGCCTTCGAATATAAAACGTAGACAGCGATCTGAGACACAGCACAATCAAGCAAAGAAAGATGTGTCTCTCACTGGTCCTCACCTCCAGCGAGCCTTTTTGTGCAATGACCTGACAGACACACACACAAACACCGCACCCTCACATGGAATGTGCATGCCTTCGTGCGCATTGCGTATGCGTGTTGGTCTCCCTCCCACACTCACCGCAAAGAGGTGAGCAAGCAGAGGCTGATGGGCGTCACAGCTGTCGGAGAGCGGGCTCACCCTGCACCGCCGGTGGGCATCTCCTTACCAACTCTGGTATCCATCGCTGCCCAGGGGGAGAGATCTGCGCAATTCGAAGGCTTGTAAAGATCCACACCAGCAGCACCGCATAGAACGCCCACCTGGTACCACTGTCTGAGGCACACACAGACACACACAGCAGCCAGTGGATGACGGGACAGATGCCTTAATGTGTCGTGTGCGTGTTTCGATCTTGTGGAATGTGCACCAGATACCTGGCTGGATGGATGGATGGACGGATGGATCACAACACGGTGACGGGGGACCACTCTTCTCCGTGTGAAAAAGCTCGACTGACTCTTTTCTTCGGCCACCTGGCTGCCCGCCGGCCACTCATACACATCCACCACACATGCGCACGCCATCATCCCTCTCTCTCTCTGCCAACCGAGTAAGAGCTGCAGCCAAACAAACACGTGGTTATGAGACGGACAAACACACACATCCGCACACCAGCAGCCATATATCCGCACATGTGTATGTAATTGTGGGTGGTCAGATTGCAGACAAGGATGCACACGTAGGTGGATGGATGGGCAGAGTGAAAAAATCGACGCTCTCTGTTGGCCCCCTGCCACCGTCTCTTCTCTCTGCCAAGTGTGAGTTCCAGCCGGTTGAAAAAACACCCCAAATGCAACACACCACACCGGACAGCAGCAGGCCAGACTCAGATCTCATGCGGCACACCGCAGGGAAAGTCGTCCACCATACAAGAAATAGATGCATGGTGGGACCAGAACACGCGCTCTCTCGCTCTCTTGCATGCATTATTGAAAAATCGCAGCACGGCACAGCCAGCCAGCCAGCCAGCCCATGACAGACACGCGCACACCAGAACCACAGCAGAGGGAGGGGTCGTCCACCATACTAAAATAGCATGCATCCGACACACACACGGCCGCCACCATGCCCAGCCCACGAAGACTTCAATCACAAGCAGCTTAGCTGCACGACAAAAATACTGCACACGCACACACACACACACGGCCAGACAGGTGCAGCCAGACCAGCTATGTACAAGTGAGTGGTGTTTTTGTTTTGGCTTTCTCCCCTGCTGCCTCGGTGACGACAAACGAAAAGGGCAGCCACGCGCCTCCCCGCTCCCCACACAAAACACGAAGCTGGCGGCAACTGTACATGCCAGCGAAATCGTCTCTCTCCCCCTCTCTGTCTGTCTGTCTGTCTGTCTGTGTGTGTGTCTGGCGGGCCCGTCTCTCCAGCTCCTCCTCTCTCTCTCTCTCGCGGCAACAGCAACAGCAGCAGCAGCCTCCTCTTATGCATCCTCCCTCCTCCCTCCCCTCTCTCTCAACTCAATCGCTCCTCAGCCTTCTTCCCCGCCCAGCCTCTGAAGATGCGTGTGATGGCCCTGCCAATGCCTTCCGACCGCCCTGATGTCGTCGGCCAGCTGCTCGGCGCCCTCCTTATGTCGGTGACGAGAGCCCATGAGCGCATCATGAGGTCTTGGTCTGCCGACCGGACCTCCCACATGGCGCGCCCATAGGCATCAACGTCACCCGACGGCTCCCAGTACTCCCACTGCCCTGTCCAGTCGTTCTGCCGCCAGTGTGCCACCCTGTGCTGGTTGATGGGGCCAGTCGGCACGAGGAGGGCATGACAGGCCTTGTACTCGGGTGCGGGCGGGAGGGGTGGCGGGTACATGTATGGGTGGTGGACGGGGAGTGGGGCAGCGTGCACGGGCAGCGGTGGCATGTACGGCGGCACTTGGACGGCTGGGATGGCAGCGGGGGCGGGTTTGGGGGGCGGGGCGTGTGGTGGCCTGGTAGTGGGTGCGTGCAGAGTGTCGGTGGGTGTTCTGACGCGCGGCTGCTCGTCGTGGGCCTCGTGATGGGTGCTGCCGTCACTTGCCAGAGGCTGCTGGGGAGCAGCGGCTCGGGGTTGCTGCTGGCGCTTGCATAGAAGAGACCCACAAATATAAAACGTAAGCAGCGATCTGACACAAACATCATGAGGACAATGTCTCAGAAGCTGTCGCCTTTTTTGTCACTTCAGCGGTTGGAGACTCTTCCAGCACCTGCAGGGCCTCGAACAGCTCCTCCTCGATGTCCCTGAGGGTGCAGCGGTCGGCCATGTCCGGCTGCATCCCCCTGGCCGTCACCTGGCAGATGGTGTCCAGCCACTTCTTGGCAAAGTGCAGGTCAGGTGACTCGAGGGGGAGGGTGTCAAGCGGGCTCTGGATCTGGCCGGGGCCGCAGAGGGGGCGGCCGTCCGTCCGAATCTAGCGCAGGCCCGCCGCGACCCGGAGCTCTACCGCCTCGTCATCGCACCAGAGGGCCGGTGGGTGTCCTGACGCGCGGCTGCTCGTCGTGGGCCTCGTGGTGGGTGTTGCTGCCGCTTGGCAGAGGCTGCTGGGGTGCGGTTGGTGAGCCGTGGATAGATGGTAGATGTGGCGGCGTAAGGTATGGCACGATGGCGGGCTGTGAGAGCGACGGATGGCTTCGTTGGTACTTACATAGATAGCGGCTGAAGACAAGTACAACAGATCCATACACAGGAATGCTCAAGTACACACACAGGTGGCGGCTGGTCGTGCGTACCTTTGTTGTGTCAGGGAGGAGGCCGGCCACCTTCCCTTATTGTTGTTGCGGTGGCCCATCGCACCACAGAACAGCTGACATCGAGGTACATACTTGCCGCCAGCCACCCGCCTTCGTGGCCAGCAGGACTGCAGCAGACACAACACACATAACACACACACATCCATCCACACATGCGCACATGCATCGTCTGGCACTCGCACACACACGCGTAGTCAGACGTATGGGTCTGTGGGGGGGTCGTTCGGTGAGTGGTAATGATACTACGTACTATGTCGGCTTCCTTACACTGACGGTGAACGAGCAGCAGAGAAGGAGTCAGGATGTGCGCGAGAGCATTCATCGCATCTATGTATGTGGTTGGTCGGTCGGTCATTCGTGTGCGCACCTGGTCTGTATGTCGCGCAAGCAGAGGGCCGTGTCACATACATGTTTGTGTCGGGCTGCCTTGGGGTGGGGGGCGGTGGTGGCACTGCAGATTGCTGAAAGACGACAGGCGACAGACAGACAGACAGACCGACTGAATGTTTGTGGGGTGCGCCTCGAGTATGGCGTGGTCTATACTTTTTGTGGGGTGGGCCTCGACTGAGTTTGTGTGGTGTACACACCTTATCAGTATAGACCAAAACGAGGGGGCAGGGGGCGTGGCGGTGTGTTTGGTGGCTTGGCGGTGAATAGTTGGCTTCGTTGCGCAGTAACCATAACGGCTTAAGTGGCTTCGTTGTTTAGTCAGCCGGATAAGAAGTGAACAAGCGACACTCAGATGATCGCGTAGAGTGACGAGGGGTGGACTGACTGGCTGACATCTCACCTTGGATGAGTAGATTGCGGGCTCGGCGCACGTGTTCCGGATGACATTTATCCTGAATATGGTGGCTTCCTGACACACAGCACGCAGACACGCACAGATGTGCCCATCGGTCGGGTGCACAGACGTAGCAGAGCTGTGTCCGCACCTTATATATTCATAGATAGGGCTTGAAAACGAAGGGGCAAGGAAGAATGCTAGGGGGCAGCGATGTGCGCGTGTGTGCCTTCGTCAGGCATCAGCTGACAGTGGGTCTGCTGACATCTATCTCACCTTTTGATGAATGGAGTCGGCCCCTCAGCACGTGGGTAGAGGTGGGATTGCGCGTGACACCGAGAGACGCCTGCACATATATGTCAGCACCACCCACATCAAATCCCTCCATAAGATCGCTCTTCCCTTGCCAGGCCCTGATGCATTTACCAATCTGGGATCGGTGGAAGTGACGGCAAGGGGGTCTTGGATGGTCAATTGAGTCCCGCGCTCGACACCGTCATGACCACGAGTGACTTGGCCACCCGGCCCATCTCGCGATGCAGAGGCTGTCTTGACAAGCAGCTGGCAGGGCCGCCGACTTCGCTTCTTGTCGGCCATCTCGCCACTCGCATCATCGCCACTTGGGAGTGTGGGATGGCAGCGGGGGCGGGTTTGGGGGGCGGGTCGTGTTGTGGCCTGGTGGTGGGTGCGTGCAGAGGGCCGGTGGGTGTCCTGACGCGCGGCTGCTTGTCATGGGCCTCGTGGTGGGTGTTGCTGCCGCTGAGCAGAGGCTGCTGGGGTGCAGCAGGCTCCTCCAGCAGCCTGAGAGCCTCGAACAGCAACAGCAGGGCCGGTGGGTGGACCATTCTCCGAGAAGGCTCCCCTTGTGGCCGCTTTCAAATCAGATGGCCGATGATGCTGAGAAGAGAAGAAGGGACCCTCACATAATACAAAATGTAGGCAGCAATCTGAAGGGAAAAGCAGACATCTCCCCCTGGTCCTCGTCTGGCAGCTCCTCCTCGATAGCGGCGGTGGTGGGATGGGGGTGTCGATGCGTCCTGCCTCCTTTTGCAGCGCGGCAGTTGGTGGGAGGGGCGGCGAGGGAGCGGCGCTGCTAATGCGGATGACCGTCACGGGGCTGCTCGCTTGGCTCTCCTTGCCGTCGTCCGCATCCTCATCGCTCTTCTCTTATCAAGCCGCTGTTTTCCTTAGATTGCTGACCTCCATTGCATTGCGTGGCAATCAACAAGGGATGGGCCTTCGAATATGAAACGTAGACAGCGATCTGAGACAGAGCACGATCAAGCAAAGAAAGATGTGTCTCTCACTGGTCCTCACCTCCAGCAAGCCTTTTTGTGCAATGGTCTTGTGGTCGAATGGGATGAGGGCGCTGCGGGTCTTGGGGTCCACCGTGAGCATGTTGCCCAGGTCGATGGCCCTCACGCCGTTGTCTGCCGGGAAGGGGTGGAGCGGCCCATTGCCGAAGAACATGTGCCGGGGCAGCATGATGTTCCTGTAGAACCCATCCAGGAAAATCCGCCGCGTGACAGGGCTCCCTGGTGGGCCTGCGTGACCAGGAGAAGGGCCTTGGTGATGACCCTTAGGTCCCCGCGAAGCCGCTCCACCCCCTCCTCGAAGCTGCCGCTGCTGCGGAATCGCTCGGCCGCCTTGAGCAGGTTGAATGAGTCGGCGTCCGCCTCGCCGTCCCACCCAAACAGCTTATTCACCTCGATAAAGCTATCAGGGTCTGCAGCCAGTATGGGTACACACACACACAGAGAGAACAATGACTGACAAGTCCGCAGTGAGTCTGTCTCTCATATGTCCAACTCACCCACTCACTGCTCTGATCCCTCATATACTGTATATAATCTCGACGACTCACCGAGGAAGGGCATCGCTATGCACAGCAACTTCTTCTTGGTGCCGTCGCTCTTGTGGTGGCTGGCTGGGCTGTGAGGGTGGGCGTCGGCTGTGAGCACCGGGAGGAATGGCGGCTGGCCGTCCATCTGCCGCATCTTGCCCTCCTCTATCTGCAGCCCTCGCACCTCATAGTCGTCGAAGGTGACGTCCTCCTCCGGCGACACGCGCTTGACGGCGGCCGTGACGGGCGCGTCGTTGGCCTTCCGTAGGGCGCCGAGGAGGACGGCCTCACCCTTGCCCTTGCCCGCTGTGCGCTCGCCGTTGGTGAGCTCTACGCAGTGGCCGTCCTTGAAGAGGATGCAGGCTGAGGCTGGCATGGCTGATGGTGCTCCTCGGCTGCTGCTGTTGCTGCTGCTCAACTGCTTGCAGCTTCCAACGAGTGTTTGCTGCTGAGGGGTGTGGGTAGCCGCCGTGGCTGCAGTTGATAGAGGTCCGTCGACACACGTTAGTATGCTGCTGCAGGTACATCTCTCCGCTCAGAGTCAAATCACCCACAAATATAAAATGTAAGCAGCGATCTGACACACACACATGAAGGAGATAATGCTGTCGATCAATTTCAGTGCCGCCTTGCTGCCTTTCGATCACCTTTGCTGCCGCCCTTCCCTCAAAGGTCTCAGCAGTGTTGGTGTGTTTGGAGGGGGAAGCCCTCCTTCGTCTCGCGCACAGCCGAAGGAGGGCTGCAGACACCACACACACACACACACACACACACACAGAGGCAGCAGTGTGGATGGATGGATGGATGGGTACACATGTGAGTGCGCCAAGCATGTACCTCTTTCTCGTCGTTCTCTTGTTGTTGTTGTTGTTGTCGTTGTCCGTCGATCCGCGGGGAGCATTGCCGCCGCCATTGGGTGCAGCAGCCGCAGCCTGCTGGTTGAGCCCCTGCATGTCAGACAACACCAACGGACGCACAGACAGACAGCCGAGAGAGATATGTGATGTGGTGTGATGTGTGGAGATTCGGGTAGCTGTGTCTGTGTGTGTGCCGGGTGTTCACGTGTCCAGCCGAGTTGCCCTGGGCAGCACCGCCGCCGCCACCCGCAGAAGCAGCCGCCGCCTGGTTCAACGCCTGCATGTCAGATAACACCAACGGCCGGACAGACAGAGAGCCGAGAGAGATATGTGATGTGGTGTGATGTGTAGAGATTCAGGTAGCTGTGTCTGTGTGTGTGGCGGGTGTTCACGTGTCCAGCCGAGTTGGGTGCCCCCTGGTGGTGGTACATGCCGACAACTGATGAAGGCACACACACGATGCATGTACGTGTGTGTCGTTCATCCATCATGGTGTGTGTGTTGTCGTTCCCATCTGCGCACCAGGCAGCCCTGGGGCCGGAATGAGGCTCCCCTGAACGCATCCATCCATCACACACACACACCCATCCATCCATCCATCTATCCATCCGGCAGTCAGTCTGTTTGGAGGTAGGTGGTGGGTGTGGGTATGTATGTGGGTGGGTGCGCGCTGCTGGCGCCGGCATACACTCATCCGTCCATCTATTACGTACGTCGGGGAGGTAGTACACGAAACGCGTCCGCTGCAACAACGCACACAACACACAACACACCAAACCACACCACACCACAACACAACACAACACAATGCGGTCATCCAGCCATACGTCGTGTGGGCATGTGTGTGCGGGGTGTGTGTGGCTTTACATTGCTATTGAAATCCGGGAATGTCTGACACGTCAGGTAAAGAGGAAACCAGGCAGAGAACAATCGTCCAACGCAATGGACCCCTTTCTCTCCATCCCCTTCCCCCCACCTGCAGACATACATACTGGCCGATGAAACTTGAGTAGGGGGTGTTGTAGTAGGCCGTCTGCCATGCATGGCATGCATGGATACAATCCATGTGAGCTCTTTGGCGGATGGATGGACGGATTGATGGATGGATGGATGGATAGATGCGGACGCCCACCTACCACGTGTCCCTGTTCAAAACGGACACACACACACACACACACACGCACACGCACACAGAGATCCATGACACCACATGCGCACTGCAACGGCTCTCCGCTGGCTGGTCGGTGCGACGTGTGGTCTTACGTCCTCCTTGAGGATCTGCATCGTCGCCATATCAGGCCGGTCCTGCAGGGGCGACACAAAGACCGAGATCTCATGGTGACATTGCCGCACCAAGATGGAGCTCCTCACCACAGGTCTCAACACGCGCAAATCTACCACAGCATACTGCACCATGCAACCAACGGACACATGACATCGACATCGCCCGCACCGACAGAGATCTGTCTGAGATCTCTCTCTTGCGCCCATCTGCCCGCTTTCGTGGCCTGCCTACCTTGCGCAGCCCGTGCGGTATGAAGTGTCTATTGACGTAGTAGCCGGGCACACAGCCGGCGGGGGGAGAAGGCCCGCCAACGCCGCCCGGACCGCCGCCCGAAGGACCGGGCCCGCCGTGCCCGCCGCCGCCTTGCTGCATCATCTCAAGATCTTCAGCCACTGAACAAACGCTAAGAGGCAGCTGCCAATCTAGCCGCCTTCCGCTAAGAAACCAAACCAACCGGCCCGCTCGCCTCCGTGGGGAGGGGTAGGGGTAGCCGCCGCCGCCTTGCTGCACCATGATCTCAACCACGAAACAGATGTTAATGAGGCAGCTCAAACGCCAGACACTTCAACCAGCCGCCTTCGCTATGAAAACCAATTCGTTGCTCCACAACTCCTGCATGCACACACAAACACCACACCAAAGCACACACATATGCACCTGTTTCTCTATCTGTCGGTCTGTGCGTCCATGCGAATGACCGAGCTCGAGGGCCTGACGGATGAGGGCCTGTTGGCAGGCAGACAGACAGGGAAGAAACAAAGCAAATGCATCCGTGTTTGTGTTCGTCCCCACCACAGACAGACAGACACCCATCTTTACACACACCCGGAAAGGTGTACGACTTACATACCTGGATCTGGATGCAACGCGGGTCATTGTGACTGGGCAGGGGGGCACGCTTCGATGGCGCCACTCTGCACACACACACACGCGCACCAATGACACACAAACATGGATCGATGTGTGTATGGATGAGTGTCGCTTCCCTGCCTGCGGCCCGTCTATCAACTTCCTGATGCTGGCCCGCCAGCATGTCGTCCCTGATGCGCCGCACCGCCAGCACCACCGGATGAGTGCACTGGGGGTCGTCGCCTGAATATATTCATCCATCCAGGCAATGGGCATCGCACCTGGGCAGTTGAGTCGCTCAACCAGCCAAGGAAGCGGAAGAAGGCGGAACATATTACTCCGGGATATAAAATGTAGACAACGATGAAGCCCTGATAGGAACGAACAGGAGACAGTCAGCCCCGTTCCCATTATTTTCCTTGCTCACCTTTCCTGCCGGCCCACAGCTTTGGAGGAGCAAAAAACAGCAGAGCCCCCTGCTCACTCAACTTTCCTGTATCAGCCACGACACCGACAGAAAGAACGAGAGAAAAAGAATAGATCGCACGAATGCATTGCCTCTCTCTCTCTCTCTCTCTCCTCTACTGCTACCCAGTCGACTGGGTTCATCACCGATGACTGGCTGCTTCTTGCCTGCGCCAGCAACACACACACACACACACACACACATGGGTATTCGCATGTCCACCAGAAAGCCATGAGTGCTGTGCTGTGTCATGCTGGCTGACCTTATGGCGGTGGTAGTCCTGGTAGTCGTGTTTGCCTTCTAATGGGCTTTTCGTGCCTTCTAATGGGCTCTTCTTGCCTTCTGGTGGGCATTTCTCTGTCCTCCTTCTCCTCTCTCTCTCTCTCTCCCTCCCCCTGCCTTCGCCCTCCTCAGAACACAACGAGTCGACCTCCGTACTCAGACATGCAGCAGCACCCATCGACACACACGCGGCCGCCACCATACAAAAAATAGCACTCAGACATGCATCCGCCACCACACCAAACACACACATGCCATGATACGAAAAATGGCACCACCACACTGAATGCAATGCACACATCAGCCGGACAGGGGCAGGCAGACAGGCAGACAGACAGGCAGTAGTGTACACTGTACAGTAAGGCTTTAGGCTTTTTTTTGGTTTGGGCTTTTCTGTTGTTTTTGGTTTTTCTCCCCGCTGCCTCGTCCGCCCTCCGTTGGCGAAAAAGGAAAAAAGGCAGCCGCTCGCTCCCCCTCCTCCCCCCCCC